TGCCCCCAGGTTGGTCACTGCCTCCTGGTGGTCAGCACAAGAGAGCAGAACTCTAGGTCTTCTAGTCAAGTGGAACAACTGACTGAGGAGGCCATTTGCATATTAGGCTTTTATTACATAGGAGGTTTGGCTTCTTCAGCTCATCATGTCTTTCCTGTGATGATTTAAGTGTAAGATGCCATTTGGAGGTCTTAAGTTAGAGAGCAACATGATCTGATTTACATGAAAGAGATACTCAGCTTACTATATGAATAATGGAGTGAAGGGAAATAGGAGTGGAAGTGGAAGCCCAGTTAGAAGTAACCCAAGCAAGAGGTGATGAGGTGATGGTGACTGGATCAGGGTAATAGACATGGAAATAGGAGGTTTGGATTTGAGTTTGAGATCACGTATCCAATACCAGTTATTTTTTTAAAGTATTATAATGCAAGTAGCTCATATTAACTTCCTGAATCTGAGTCTGTAATCATGAATTTGCATGTATTAACTATGTTTCTATACTGAAAGGTTTAATAAATACCTTTTGGAGTGGTGTAGACAGACTATGAATCCACATATAATGCAATCAGTACTTTAAGAAGCCTAGGAAGCTATGGGAGCCAGAAGGGTGTAATATCTGCCTGGGGATGGTCAAGAGAGATCACCTGGGGGTTGTGGCCCTTGAGCTAAATTCTAAGAAGGAATCATTTTGTAAAATGTAAGATAGCAAATAGTTTAAAATAGCAGTTGCCAACCTTTCAGACCTCACAGACCACCAGTGGTCCATGGACCACCGGTTGGCGACGCTGGTTTAAAGGGTGAAAAGGTATATGGGAAAACCAAATGATGTAAAATCTCATGGAAGTTCAGTGTGGTTCTATGATGAGATTTCATAAATATGAGAGCCTGGCCTGGAAAAAGACTTTGAACTGGGTCTAAATGGTTGGGCATTCCACCATTTATTCAGTCAAACAACTACTCCTAAGTGCTTCTATGTGCCTTGAGACTCATGGAGAGGCCTGAGGTAGCAAACTAGAAACCTGTGTTTTGCCCCACATTCCTATAGGATCACTAGCATAGTTGTTTTAACGGTGGCTGTTCTTTTAGAGTATATGCTCTCCTGTTCTTCACATTCCTCCATAGCGTCTCTTCACCTTATTTATAGTACTTCCTGGCCCTTTTAGGTTTTTGACTTTTCATCCCCTGGTTTTTGTTGTAAGTAAAATAGGACTTCAAGTCAATGACACAGAGAGAATGATCAACATGATCTGAACAGGGGAAGAGCTAACCTAAGTAGACGAAGAGAAGATGAGAGTTTTATCAGGGCTTACTAACCTGATTCCTAGGGTGGAGTTTAGGTGGTGCAATTAAAAATATATATTTAATTGATTTCAGAGGGAGGAAGAGGGAGATAGAAATATCAATGATGTGAGAGAATCATAAATTAGCTGCCTCCTACATGCCCCCTACTGGGAATCGAACCCACAACCTGGGTATGTGCCAGGCAGGTGGTGTAATTTGTGAGTGTGAACATCCTTATGACTTCGACTGCTTGACTATGAATCTTGGCTTTGGGCCTTGTCACTGGTTAATATATAAGCCTCAATTCATTTGTAAAATGGGTGTATTGTTAAGATTAAATGAGACAATTAATGTATAAAGTGGCCTTAGTAGAAATTAACTGTTGTTATTATTATTCTATTCTGGGTTTAGGGTATCGATTTTCAAAGGGGTTATTAACCTAGAAGTTGGCGAACAGATGGCACAGGTGTTTGGGAGCTATCTAGACTACCACCCTTCTGTAAAACGAAGAAGCTCTATGATAAGTGGATTGCAGAGGGAATCCGGAGACCCAGGCTCTACTGTGAACTTTTGAAAGTACCTGACAGATTGGTTCAGCTTTCTGGGTAATCTATTAAAAGGGGGGAACCGGTTCGACTTGGCAGCCGCAATGCAGGCCATGGCAGCTTCAGTGAGGGAGGGGAGACATTCTACCGCGGGGTAAGCGCGGAGCCTCCAGGCCGACTACACCTCCCAGCCTGCTTTGCGCTTCGGACAGCGCCCTACGCTAAGCGCACGCGAGCCTCTCCGCGTTTCCAACCTCCAGTTACCGTCTCTCGCGAGAGGACGGGCCGCGCCGGCGGTAGCGATAGCTGTGGTGGTGCTGGTGCAGGTGGTGGCGGCCGAGACGGCAGCGGCCATTTTGGTGAGGCCTCGGAAACGGCGGCTGCGGCGGCGGTTCTCAGGGGCTACCGTCTCATTTTTCCCACCCATCGTCCGCACCTTTGTGGTGTGAGAGGAGGCAGTGGAAGCAAGGCGGTGGCAGTAGTCGCAGGCCCCAGGGGAATTTAAAGGCCGCGAAGCGGCGACCAAGAGGGGGTCCTCCCCCCTCCTCTGCTGCGGGAGGGGGGTGGTGCGTACGCCCCCGAGGACGCAGGTAAGGAGAGGGAGACAAGATGGCGGACGCTCCACAGTTCCCCCTCCCCTGACGGGTGACTGCGCGCGCATCTTTCCGCCACCGCCTTCCCTCCCTCCTTCCCGGGGTGCTGCGCGCGCACCTTCGGCCGGGGCCCCGGGGCCGGTACGCGAGGCTGTCGGCGCGCGCCCATAGAGAGACGGGCTGAGGGGGCCAGGCCGGCCGGCACCGGGCCTGGGCGCGTCTCCTCTCCCTTCCCGCCCGTCTGCGCACGCGTGCCTGAGCGAGCGAGCGAGCCCCGAGAGGACGGACCCAGGTGTGCTCCTGCCCGCCCACCAACCCCGGCCCCTCTCAGGGGCGCGCGGGAAGAGGAAGGGGGGCGTGGGATGAGTAGTCGGGGCGTGCGCCCACCATATCCAGTCAGAGACCAGGATCTGGCTGCTCGAATCCTTCTTTATCTCAGCCTTTCGCGGTCTGGTGGTGGGGGCTCCCGGACGGGCAGGGATGCGAGGCTACCCAGCCCTGCGACCCTTGTGTGCGTGGGCTTGGGTTCTGGCGGGAGCCCCCGGGCGATGCGCGCAGCCGGCTCTCTCCGCCTCCAGCCGCGCACGCGCGGGCCCCTCCCCCACTCGCGCATGTTGGGTGGGGTGTTAGTCCAGGAGGGGGCGGGGCTACCTCCGGGCTAGTGGCGACTTGGGGTAGAGGTCAGGGGTCGTGCTGGGTTAGGCTGTTGGGAGGGGGGTGAGCCGGTAATGAAGCCTCGGGTTGAGCGTTCTAGCGAGCTGCTTGTATTCCAGTTAGCTCGGGTCCTGTGACTGTTGTGGAGGAGGGGGTGAATCAAAGGCAGCAGCACCGCGGTTAAGGAATTTCCTTAAACACTGGGGAAACACTTCCGGGCCTTGTGGATTTACCCGCCTGTTTCCGGCCCATGTTTCTTTGCTATGCGGCCTTCTTCACTTATGATTGTTCCTCTCATGTTTCCTGCTGTAGTTCTTGTGTTTCGGGAAGTGTCTCCTAGTGCAGGTATGGGAGTCAGGGGGCCCTGCCCGGAGGAAGTGTCTCCTGGTGCAGGTATGGGAGTCGGGGCCCTGCCCTGTTCTCCTGTGACTGTTCTGTTCTCACTGGCAAGGAGAGCGGGCTGCCAGGCACCTAGCACCTTTTTGAGCTTCTAGATATGACAAGTTTTTTTTCTTTGTTGTTTGCCCTCCATTCAGTTGGAACCTTTTACCCTTGGGCTTTTCAACTTTTTTTTTTTTTGCTTCCCTTCTCTTCTGACTAGTCAGAATTTGGATTTGCTTTGATTTTTCTAAAATTTGAGCTTTTCCTAATGCTTTCAGCCTTTGCACTGATTTAGGTATATTTAAAAGCTTCAAAAGTTGGTGTAAAGAAGGCTTGGATGGATGTTGGTAAATGTGGATTAATTCCTCACTGCTGTTTTCTTCTGTTTTAGTTGTGATTCCCTTCAGTACGGCGGCACCGTGGAAGTACAGACTTTCACAGGGGGTGTGGTCTCAGCTCACACAGGTAAGTGTTTAGATACCATTTTGTATACTGATGCTAATGAGAGAGATGTTTGAGATAATGGGAGAATTATAGCTTAATACTTCTGGGTTGATAACATCGCTACCACAGACCTGGGACTGTGGATAGGGAAAGATTTGATCACTCTGGCTCTACCAAGAATTGCATGTCCTCCATGGTTTTGGCATTAGACTACCTAAGTTTAAGTCCTCCAACCACTTCCTTATTGTGACCTTACACAAGTCATTTGGTGCCTCTGTATCCTGATTTCTTTCTAACTTGTAAAATAGAGAAAATATTAGAATTTAAGCTCCATTTACGGCAGGATTTTTTCTGCATGGCTCTATCCTTAGTATGTAGAAGGAACTAAGTAAATAATTATGAAATGAAAAGTACCTGGCTCATAAGGTAGATATGAGGGTATAGAATACATTAAGTCAAAGTGAAGTATCCGACATATAGTAGATGCTCAAGAAATGCAGGCTATAAACAGTGTTTATTTAATCTTTTTAATGTTATCTTTAATATTTTATTTTATTTTTTATTTTTTTTTTTTTTTTAAATATATTTTATTGATTTTTGTACAGAGTGGAAGGGAGAGAGATAGAGAGTTTGAAACATCAATGAGAGAGAGTCATTGATCAGTTGCCTCTTGCACACCCCCTACTGGGGATATGCCCGCAACCAAGGTACATGCCCTTGACCAGAATCGAACTCGGGGCCCTTCAGTCCCCAAGCCGACGCTCTATCCATTGAGCCAAACCGGTCCCGGCTATCTTTAATATTTTAAATTAAAGATATTTTAATATCTTTAATTTTTTAAAGATATTAATATTTTAAAAATCCCCTTTCTACTCCTTTCTATCCTACTTTAGGTGCTCCAGAGGCCAGTGGACCTGAGCGGAGGCTGGGACGCCCTAGTGGGCCCCGGGCCCTGGAAGGCGGGTCCCGGTGGCCTGTGGCCCAGAATGAGGCCAGCTCCCAGCATGCCCTGCAGCCGGACGCCAACCCCTCGGCCAGCAGCAGTGGTGACAACGACCCAGTCGTACTTCAGGCATCCAAAGAGGAGCCTGGGAGTGGGACCATGCAGAGCAGCCCCTCCCCTGCTCACCCTCAACTCCCAGTCCTACAGACACAGGTTTGAAAGTGGCGAGGGTTCCTTCTCTGCTTCTGCTTTGTGGGCTGCTGGCTCTGAGGCAGAAGAGCAGGACTTAGCCATATGTCTATGATTCTGGCTACCTTAATACTGAGATAGGAGAATCTTCAGGTGGACTGGTAAACCTGTTGGCTACTTACATTGTACTTGATATTAGTGTATCATTGGTCACTGAGGGTCTGGAAACTCCTTGTCACCTGAAAAAGGTTGAATTTGGCCAGGTTGGAAATGGAGGTTAGGACATTATGCTCCCAAGACTGTCTGCTTTGCAAATAGCTATTTCTTTCTCGAAACTGGAATAATTTAAGCGTTATGGGAGGTGTGTGTGTGTGTAGTGTTCATTTCTTTGCCATACCAAGGAAGTTAAGAGTGTGTGTGTGTGGGGAAATCATGGCTTTTTAAACTAGTATGACCTAGGTTTTTTTTGGTTTTTTTAAAATATATATTTTATTGATTTTTTACAGAGAGGAAAGGAGAGGGATAGAGAGTTAGAAACATCAATGGGAGTGAATCATTGATCAGCTGCCTCTTGCACATCTCCTACTGGGGATGTGCCCGCAACACAGGTATATGCCCTTGACTGGAATCAAACCCGGGACCTTTCAGTCCGCAGGCCAACGCTCTTTCCACTGAGCCAAACCGGTTTTGGCTGACATAGGTTTGTTTATAGTAGGCTTTTGATGGTTATGGATTTGATATTTATAATTTCCCTGAGCAGCTGGGAAATTTTGTGACATAATCTTTTGTCATTTAACTGAGTAGGAATGTAAGTAGCACACTGAAGCTTGTGTGCTGGAGTGAATTTAATGAGTTCTCTTAGAATCCACATTTAAGTAGGACTTTGTTCTCTACTTCATATTGCTTGTGCAAGACCTTGTAAAATAATAGGGGTGTGTGTGAAGACAGTGACCAACCCTCCATCCCTTTCCCCTTACACCTCACCAGTAAAGGAAACTACCAAGACTGGTAATAAAGAGGTTTAGATGATCTTGTGTTTTTTGTTTTTGTTTTTTTGAAGCCTTTTGAATTTGGTGATAGCTCAAATTTATTTGCATAGGTGACTCTGCCATACTTGATGGGAAAATAGGGATTTATTTGTGTAAGTGAAATTATTGAGGTCCTGAAAAGTTCATTAAAATTTGAAGTCATCTGCTATAGTATTCTTGAATACAATAGCTATGAAAGAGTAGTTTATAGTATTCTTTAACACCATCAGACTATAACTCCTCTTGCATGCCAGACTTCTATTATAAGCTTGGTCTGTCTTCTTGAACACCTTAAAACTTTACCACATAGGTTTGTGTTTATAAGATGAGGTTGATAGTTACTTCAGAGCTTTTTTCTTGTAAAGATAGAGTGAACTAATGTACTACAAACTCCCAGTACAGTTTTAAGCATTCATTTTATCTTCATTTTTCCTTTTCTAGATGGTGTCGGACGGCATGACAGGCAGCAATCCTGTGTCCCCTGCCTCATCCAGTTCCCCAGCCTCTAGTGGGGCAGGTGGCATCTCCCCCCAGCATATAGCTCAAGATTCCTCTCTGGATGGACCTCCAGGGCCCCCAGATGGTGCCACCGTGTCCCTGGAGGGGCTCAGCTTACTCCAGGCCGCTGACTTGGCTAACAAGGGCCCAAAGTGGGAGAAGAGCCATGCTGAGATCGCAGAGCAGGCCAAGCATGTATGTATTGGGAGGGCTCATGAGGATTCTTGATAATTTTCTTCCCTGAACTGCTATGTTCCATGGATATTTTACATTACTTTTCTCATTATGTGTAAATTCTGTCTTAACTTATGTGATCTTGAGCTAGTCAATTGAAATCTGAGCCTCATTTCCTTTTCTATGAAATAGATCTGGTATAATCCTATCTAATAAAAAGGGAATATGCTAATTGACCATCACTCCATCCAAAGATGGCTGTACCCCAGCTGAGGCCAAGTTTCCATAAGGAACCTTAACAAGGAATCAGCAGGGATCTGAGGCTATGCCCTCCCCCACCCAGCAGGGCTTGACAGGTTATTTCAAGCCACGCCCCCCTTCCCTGGCACGAGGCTGGGGAACCTCAGACTGCACTCTTAGCCCAGTGGGGCTTGACAGGGAACTTCAGGCTTTGCCCCCCCCCCCCCCAATAGGGCTTGATGGGGGACCTCAAGGTGCACTCCCAGTGCTGGTTTGGGGGAACTCAGACTGTGGTCCTGCCCAGCAGGGCTTGATGGAGTCCTGAGGCTGTGCCCCCCTCCTGGTGCTGGGCCAGGGACCTGAGGTCCCAGGCGGGGCTTGATGGGGGACCTCAGGCCATGCCCCCCACCCAGCGGGGCTTGACAAGGGATCTCAGGCCATGTCCCCCACCTGGCGGGGCTTGATGGAGGACCTCAGGGCATGCTCGGTCTGGGCTGGAGGACCTCAGGCCATGCCTCCCATCCTGGTACCAGGCCAGGGAATCTGAGGCTACAACCCCTGCCTGGCAGGGCTTGACAAGGGTGGGACTGGCTGGGTCTGGATCTAGCCCAATGGGGGGGCGGGCCGACCGCATCTGCGTCTCACGCGATTTTGAGGTGCATGTGGGTGGGCGGGGACTTTCATTTTTTCTGGGTCCTGTGGTGTGCCCCAGGCTCTGAGGAGGAAGGTTTTTATATACGTTTCACTAATTTTCTTTCATCTCTGACACTTCTATTATAGAGAAAGGGCAATTATTTCCTCTAATTAATCCCCTTTTAATGTGCTCGAATTTCGTGCACTGGGTTACTAGTAATCTATAGGCTGTTAGGACATAACATTAAAGACATCAAAGTGCTTTGTAAGCTGTGAGGCTCTTAAGACTTGCTGGTTGCTGCTGCTTATTTACCTAGTGGTGAGTGTGGTCCTGGGCTGCAGCCTCGCACCACCTGGAGAATCTTACTCCTCTCTTTTCTACCCATTCAAACTAAAGGGTGGGGCCCGCAATCTGTCTTTAAAAGTACTTCAGATGATTCTCATGCATGCTCAAATTTGAGAACCATTGGTCTAAATTGCTCATGTTTTTCCTGGTATTTCCTTCATCAGTTTCATGGTTCATGTCTGGCTATTATTTCCTCTGGATTAGTTTTTGTTAGGAGAGCATAAGAATAATGAGAGCAATTGTCTTCAGTTTTTAAATCATGTCTCTTAAATGAAAAGAATTAAAATGTTTTTATTTTATCCTTTATGAAATACAGGGTGGGCAAAATATGGTCACAGTTCATATGTAAAATATTACAGTAAATAATAATACAAGAATAAAATGTTTCACATACTTACAACTGTAAATCTACTCTTGCTCCACCTTGTATAATCATGTAGAAATAATGTTTTTGGTTTTTGTGGGGTTTTTCTTCGTTAATCTTCACCTGAGGATATTTTTTCATTGATTTTTAGGTAGAGTGGAAGAGAGAGGGAAAGTTAGACAGAAACATCGATGTGAGAGAAACACATCGATTGGTTGCCTCCTGCACGAGCCCTGACTAGGGCCCGGGCCGAGGAAGAGCCTGCAACCAAGGTACATGTCCGGGAATCGAAACCGGACCCTTTGGTTCGTAGGCCAACACTCTACCCACTGAGCCAAACAGACTAGGGCAGCAAAATTATTTTTTATTATGGTAAGCACTTCATTTTTTTGGTGTGTAGCGTTTCAGTGTTTTCACAAAAATATATTTTTCTAAAAATAGTATTTAAAACAAACGAGATTGTGTAAATTGGGCTTTATAGTATACTTGTCATCGTGAACATGCTCCTGCATAAGCAGAATTCTACAGTGAGAAGAACCCTTATATCTAGAGCCAGTACAGAAACGTGTACTCCCAGCTTCTCTGGAAGTACCCTTGGGATATGTTTTCTGAAGTCGTGCCTATATTCATGGGGAGTTGAGATTGTGTAAAATAATGGAAAGAGCATTTAATTTGGTGTTTGGAGTCATTAGACATATTTTTAATTCTCAGCTTGTTAATACTTCCTAGGTATGTGATCTAAAGTAAATCACATAATCTGCCTGATGGTTACTTTAATTATTTGAAGATGGCATAATACCTACTTGTAGGATTGAGATGTGGACTTAAGACAGCATAAAACATTCAGTCCAGTCAGTTTCTGTGTATAGTCCGTGCTCAGGCGTTCAGCATAGTCATGAGGGTGAAGTATATGTCCAGTAACTTGATTGATCTAGCTCTCCCTCAATAGGAGGCTGAGATTGAGACTCGGATTGCTGAGCTTCGGAAAGAGGGTTTCTGGTCACTGAAGAGGCTGCCTAAAGTACCCGAGCCTCCCCGCCCCAAAGGCCACTGGGACTATCTGTGTGAGGAGATGCAGTGGCTCTCTGCTGACTTCGCTCAGGAGCGCCGTTGGAAACGGGGTGTGGCCCGTAAGGTATGTCTTCCAACTGGGTCTACTTTCCATTTCTTTTTCAGGTTTGCTCTTTGTTTGTTTGTTAGGTAGGTTGATTGGAGGGAAACTAAACAGAACAGTGTAGGATGCTTATTAATGCCAAGTATCAAAAGGCAAGCTGGCTTCCCAGGTTTTTTGGCTTTGATTATTTTCTTTGCTTTTGGCTTGAGGAAAGGTTGGGTCTGGCCATGGAGTGTTTTTATGCTGGTTTCTCGTTTCCACAGGTAGTGCGAATGGTGATCCGGCACCATGAGGAACAACGGCAGAAAGAGGAACGGGCCCGGAGGGAGGAGCAGGCTAAGCTGCGCCGAATTGCCTCCACCATGGCCAAGGATGTCAGGCAGTTCTGGAGCAATGTGGAGAAGGTAGGCAGCAGGGACTGGGAAAGGTAGATGTCTTAGGTTTGATTGGTGGGTAGTGTGGTAGCAGAAATGATCAAAACTCTCAGAGAGAGTGAATATTTTGATTTCAAGCAATTCTGATGCATTTCTATTGTACATTAGATCTTTCTTTTATTAAGTGTTATTAAGAAGAAAGAAATACAGTGGAAAATAGGCCCTGCCTTTGGGGATCGTTTAAAATTTTTGTTTTTAATTACAGCTGACATTTAATATTATATTGGTTTCAGGTATGCAATATAGTGGTCAGACATCTATGTAACTTACGAAGTGACCCTCTGTTAAGTCCAGCACCTTTGACACCATACATAGTTATTACAATATTATTGGCCATTTTCCTAATGCTATGCTTTACATTCCCATGACTATTTCTGACTGCCCTTTTATACTACTTAATCGTTCACCTTTATCACCCAGCCCCCCAGTCTCCTCAATTTCTGGCAACTATCAGTTTGTTCCCTGTATTTATGAGTGTTGTTTCTGTTTTATCTGTTCACTTATTTTTTTAGATTCCACATACAAGTGAAAATCATGTGATATTTGTATTTTTCAGTTTCAATTCATTCAGTCTCTTTCCATCCATATTGTCACAAATGGCAGGATTGCATTCTTTTTTATGGCTTAGTAAAACATACATTTGAATATATGTACCACATTTATTTATTTATTTATTTTTTTTTTAGGAGAGAAATACTGATTTGTTGTTTTGTGTACTTATGTATTTATTGGTTGATTTTTGTATGTGTTCTGCCCTGGGATTGAACCTGCAATCTTAGTATATTGGGATGATGCCCTATCTGGCAAGGACTATACCACATTTTTTTTTTTTTTAATGTTTTTATTGATTTCAGAAAGAGGAGGGGAGAGAGAGAGAGAGAGAGAGAGAGAGAGAGGGAGGGAGGGAGGGAGGGGGGGAAACATTGGTCATCTACCTCATGCATGCCCCAAATCAGAGAATCGAAATCAGGTCATGTGTTCTGACCAGGAATCAAACTGGTGACCTCTCAGTGTATGGTTCAATGCTCAACCACTGAGGCACACCGAGCAGGGTGTACCACATATTCTTTATTCACTGCCTCTCCATGGGCACTTAAGTTGCTTCCTACCTTTGCTATTGTAAATAATGCTGCAGTGAATATGGGGATGCATTTTTCTTTTTGAATTAGTATTTTGGAATTACTAATATTCTTAAAAAATATACCCAAAAGTCTGACTTCTGGGTCATATGGTAGTTTTATTTTTAATTTTTGAGGTTCTTTGTTTTTATTATTTTGAGGAATTTCCGGGCTGTTTTCCATAATGGCTGTACAATCCCACTAATAGTACACAAGTGTTCCCTATTCTCTGCATCCTCACCAACATTTGTTTGCTGATTTATTGATGACAGCCATTTTGACAGGAGTGAGGTGATATCTTATTGTGGTTTTAATTTGCATTTCTCTGATGATTACTAGCCATTTATATGTCCTCTCTGCCCAATTTTTGATGGGATTAGGGATTATTAATAGGATTTATTGACGACTCTAGACCATCTGTCTTTTGCAAGGCATTCAGCATACTTTTTCTAAAACTTAGTATTTGTGCCTGTTACCTACTTAAATACCATCAAAGTTCTCATTACTAAATTGTTCACATATATTATTACATCATTGTTTCTCAAGCACTACATGGCTTCTATTTATATTTTCAGTCTTTTGTTTTCTGCCAGCTCCTTTTCTCTTTTCCATTGCAAACTATTCCTTCTTTTGCGCATTTCTGGCCATTAATATATGGCTCTTTCTGCTGCTGGGAATGCCTTTTTCCTCATTCCACTTAAGGAAGAGCTACTTAGCTCATCCTCCTAAAAAGCCACCCAGGGCCTAGCATAGGAGACTTCCCTAAATTTTGCGTAAAAAGGAATACATGAATAAAAGATTATCTTGGTGAACCATCCATGCCATGCTTGTGACAGGTGGTGCAATTCAAGCAACAGTCCCGGCTGGAGGAAAAGCGCAAAAAAGCTCTGGACCTGCACCTGGACTTCATTGTGGGGCAAACTGAAAAGTACTCAGACCTTCTATCTCAGAGCCTCAACCAGCCAGTAGCCCTCAGCAAAGCTGGCTCCTCCCCTTGTCTTGGCTCTTCCTCAGCTGCCTCTAGTCCTCCACCCCCAGTTTCCCAGCTGGATGATGAAGGTGTGTGTCCTTTTTGGCTCTGTTACTCCTCCTCATGTACCCTTTCAAGAGCTGAAAACCCACCCTATGGCTTGCAGGGCCCCGTGGACTTTGTGACCTTGTTCTCCTGCTATAGATGGGGACTTCCAACCCCAAGAGGAGGAAGAAGAGGATGATGAGGAGACGATTGAGGTTGAAGAACAGCAGGAAGGCAATGACGCAGAGACGCAGAGGCGTGAGATTGAGCTGCTTAAACGTGAGGGAGAATTGCCACTGGACGAGCTGCTCCGTTCCCTTCCCCCTCAGCTGCTAGGAGGGCCTTCCAGCCCCTCAAGAACCCCCTCATCTCATGATAGTGACACCAGAGATGAACCTGAAGATGGTGGTGAAGAAGAGCCCTCTCAGGTGTTGAAGGTATGGGCAGAAGGGATAGGGGGAGGGCTCAGAGTGGGAGCAGGGATAGAGTTCTGGTCTATAAGGCTAGTTGTGGTTTTCAGGAGTTTTCCCTGTTTAAAGATAATTTTGGGGCTCTCATTTGGGGGTAACTAAGGAAGAATCTGAGTTGGAGCAAGTTGCAATCTGAGATGGGCAGAAATTCTAATGCTGTAGTGGAAGTATACTGTATTCTACTCTTTAAATTACTGTGACCTTAAAAAATACTTATGCTGGCCCTTGCCACTTCTGTGAAATGGTCCTAATATTCCCTTACAGATTTGTAGATTTGGAACTGGGATGGTAATTTGGATCTAATTTCTTTGTTTCTCCATATGTCTGAATGCATGGGCTTATATTTGTTATCTAGCACTTTCACAGGTCCTCCCCCAGGCAGTGGGGCCGGGATTTGGTAGCTGGTGCTGAAAGAAAACCTTTGATTGCATCCTTGCTCTGGGATTGTGCCAGTGGCAGCTATCACTCAATGGCACAGAGAAATTGTTCTGTAGCATCATATTCTCATTGTGCCTTTCTCCTGTTTTAACCTTAGGCTCTCTTCCTTTTTATCCTTTGACATATAGGTAACCCCCCCGCCCTCCTCTGTTGCACAGCGTAACAAACAGCCTTGGCATCCAGATGAGGACGATGAAGAGTTCACTGCCAATGAGGATGAAGGTTAGACCTATTCTCTTTATCCTGTTCCCCTTGAATAGTTTGGACCTAATGTTTCAGGCTTTCTTACCGCTTCCACTTAGACTGTGCCTGTGTCTCTTCCCTATTGATATGGTTTTATTCTCTTTCCTAGCGGAGGATGAAGAGGATACCATAGCAGCTGAGGAGCAGTTGGAAGGGGAGGTGGATCATGCCATGGAGCTGAGCGAGTTGGCTCGAGAAGGTGACATTCACTAGACATTTTAACGAACGATACTTCGGTGTCTCCTGTGCAGAGTTGCAGGGATAAAGAGATGACTAACAGACGTTTTATCTTCCTAGAGGAACTCCTAGATCTGATGACAAAGATAGATTTATAAGTGAATACTTATAAATAGATTATGATGACTAATTATGATGACATTTTGAACAAAGTAATGTGAGAGCTCATGGAGGGAAGAGCTATTGTGAAAGGATTTGGGTGATGTTTTACCTAAACCTCAAAGCAGGAGTGGGGAGGGAACCTTTCTTCTACCAAGGGCCATTTGGATATTTATAACATTCATGGGCTATATAAAATTATTAACTTAGAAATTAACCTGCTATATTTGGTCAAACATTTAATTATCTCACCCTTAATACCTTGGCAGGGCCAGACCAAATGATTTTGTGGGCCAGAAGTGTCTGTCCACCTCCTTCGCACGCACGCACGCACGCACGCACGCACGCACACCTTAAAGGGAGGTTCATCACATTGATATTATCCTTCCCAATGGAAGGCAGTACCATCCATGGCTTTAGTAGCTGGTGCTGAAAGTAAGCTATTTTTTTTGCCTTCCCTGGGACCTGGGCCTATCGGTATCTACAGAGATCTAGGTAAAACAAACTGGCACCCTTCAGACCTCTTCTCCCTTTCCCTCATGCATCCAAGCACTTACTCTCTTTTTTTCTTCAGGTGAGCTCTCTGTGGAGGAGCTATTGCAGCGATATGCAGGAGCCTATGCCTCTGATGCCTCTGCCCCAGATTCTGGCAGTAGTGAAGAGGAAGAGGAAGATGAGGTTAATGCTAACAGCTCTGACTGTGAACCAGAGGGGGCCATAGAAGCTGAAGAGGCTCCTCAGGAGGATAGTAGCAGTCAATCAGGTAAATGTGTGGTTATGAGGAAGGTAGGCACTGGAGGAGCAGGTATGGTTAACACTAAGCCTTGGTCTTGTGCTTTAGACTCTTCTGAGGAGCAGAGTGAGGACGAGAAAGATGAGCATTCCGAGGAGGAAGAAACAAGTGGGAGTTCAGAATCAGAGGAATCTGAGTCTGACGAGTCTGAGGAGTCCCAGTCACAGAGCCAAGCAGAGGAGGAAGAGGAGGAAGAGGAGGACGACTTTGGGGTGGAATACTTGCTTGCCCGGGATGAAGAGCAGAGTGAGGCAGATGGGGGCAGTGGACCTCCCACCCCAGGGCCCACCACCCCTCGAGGCCCTAAGAAAGAAATTACTGACATTGCTGCAGCAGCTGAAAGTCTCCAACCCAAGGGTTACACCTTGGCTACTACCCAGGTAGTATCCTCAGGCCCTAGCTTCTGCTTTCTCATATCTTGACTTCTCTGTTTCTCAGTGACAAGATGCTTCAGTTCACCTTGACACTTCTCTTCCCTAACAGGTGAAGACACCAATTCCCTTGCTCCTGCGAGGCCAGCTCCGGGAGTACCAACATATTGGGTTGGACTGGCTGGTTACTATGTATGAGAAGAAGCTTAATGGCATTCTTGCTGATGAAATGGGGCTGGGCAAGACGATCCAGACCATCTCCCTGCTTGCCCACTTGGCTTGTGAGAAAGGTAATTAGACAGGGCCCCTTCCTCTTGGGTCTCCTTGGGGATGACTCCAGCTACAGAATAGTGAAATACTCTTTTGCTGGACTCTTAATAGCTTCATTGACTGGTCAGTAACTGTATAGCAAGGCCCGCATCAGTGCTAGGTTTCTTAAGAAGGGCCATTAGGACAGACTGGTCAGGGTTAGGCCTGAGGAGCAAGAACCTTAAATTGTATATATCTCCTTGCCTTCTCTCATTCTTTTTTTTTTTTTTTTTTTTTTAATTTGTTTAAAATCTTCCTGCATTTTATTTGTTTATTTAAATCTGTATTTTTATTGATTTCAGAGAGAAAGGGAGAGGGAAAGAGAGAAAAACATCAATGATGAGAATCATTGATTGGCTGCCTAAAGATTTAACCTACAACACGGGTATGTGCCCTGACTGGAAATGGAACCATGACCTCTTGGTTCATAGTCAGCACTCAACCACTGAGCCATGTTGGCCGGGTTGAATTTTATTTTTTTTAATTGTGTATTGACATATTACTTTCAGGTATATAACGTTATTCAGTACTTGTATACATTGTGAAATGATCACAATAAACATCTGTCATCATACATAATACAAACCATTTATTTCCTATGATGAGAACTTTTAAGATCTAAGTAACTTTCAAATAATACAATACAGTACTGATTATACCATGTTATACATCTCTCATTCTTTTGCTAAACAGGTAACTGGGGTCCTCATTTGATCATTGTCCCCACCAGTGTGATGTTGAACTGGGAGATGGAACTGAAGCGTTGGTGCCCCAGCTTTAAAATTCTCACTTACTATGGAGCCCAGAAAGAGAGGAAGCTCAAGCGGCAGGTTTGCTCTTCCATGTGACCAACTCTCTTTCCCCAGTTGATGCCTTATTTTTTTTTTAGGCCCTTTTTCTAAAGATGAATTTCTTTTCCTCCCTTTCTATTGCTTAATTCTGCTTCTTGGACTTTCTGTTTTCTCCCAACCTGATTTCTGTCCTTAGCATGCCTCCCTTTACCCTCTCCCCCCCACCCCCCACCTCACTATCTGCTACTTTCTTTTGATACCTCAGGGCTGGACCAAGCCCAATGCCTTCCATGTGTGTATCACGTCTTACAAGCTGGTGCTGCAGGATCACCAGGCCTTTCGCCGCAAAAACTGGCGCTATCTCATTCTGGATGAAGCTCAGAACATCAAAAACTTCAAGTCACAGCGTTGGCAGTCACTGCTCAACTTCAACAGGTGGAAATGGAATTGGAGATTCTTGGGACGGTTGACTAGGTCTCAAGGGTGGGATGCTTGGAAGGTTGAGAATTTGCTGACCATCCTCCCTCTAATTCCCTCTGTCTCTTTGCAGCCAGAGACGCCTGCTCCTGACAGGAACTCCCTTGCAGAATAGCCTTATGGAGCTGTGGTCCTTGATGCACTTTTTGATGCCCCATGTCTTCCAGTCTCACCGAGAGTTCAAAGAGTGGTTCTCTAACCCCCTAACTGGCATGATTGAGGGTAGCCAAGAGTACAACGAAGGTCTAGTCAAACGCCTCCACAAGGTAGGGCCTGCAACAGTTTGTCAGGAGTCTTGGGAATGGTGAGGAACTAAGGGCAGAAAACCTTTAGGGAGAGGGAAGTCAAACAGGCTAAATTCACCCATTTGTCAAGCTTCAGTGTTTTCTTTAATGGGGACATTTTTGTGCATATTCTGTGAGTAGAATAATATTGCTTATTAGTCCCTGCTTGGATTTCTCTACCTGGCTTTCCTCAACTTTGTATTTTTATTATTTCTTTTTTCTTCTCTCTCTCCCCCTCCCTTTTTCTCTCTCCGTATCTCCCTCCATCCCTCTCCTCTCCTTCTCTTCTCTCTTTTTCTCTTTCTCCCTCCCTTATCTTTTTTTGTCTTCTCTTTGTCCGGTTTTTAAATAACATCTCTCAGCATTCTGATCTTTATTTTTGTCTCCCAGTTTACATATCTCACTCATAAGGCTTTAAAGATGCCAATTTGTGTTTTTAATTCCTCAATTCTGTAGACTATGTGACCTACAAATTTGACTTTATGTCTTTCATTGAAAGTTGCTGTTGAACTCAACTCTGTTTTAGCCCAAACATCTCAAGCTTTATAATCTATTATTTCTATTCTATTTTGGTCAATCACACCATTATTTTGGTAAATCATAGAAACCAAGAAGTCTTCCTTTACTATACCTTTTCATCTCCCTTCACTTCTTCCATGTTAACTTGATGACTCTGTCTTCTCAGATTTTACCTCCTGAGATCTCACATTTGCCTTTTGTTTTCTCTGCTGGTGTCACTGCCCCAGTTTTTGTTCTCAGCTTCTCGCTGGACTTACTTTTGTAATTTGTAATTTGAGTCATCCCTCCTGTGTAGTTAGTTGCTCTGCCCTCAGTACTCTTTATCACTTCTTATGTTGTGGTATTATAATTTTAATGTTTGTTCTTCAGTAGACAGTAAATTTCTTAAGAGGAAGGAGGGCTTGCATCTGACTCATCTTTGTGTGATTAGTTTTGGGCATGCTGCGTAGCTCCAAGAGTATTTACTGATAGGGCTAAGGCAGTGCCCAACTGATCAAGCCAAGACCCAGGTAGAAGGGCTAGACAGTCTCCTGCTGTTCTGTCATCAAATAATGTTGATTATTTACTTTTAGGTTTTGCGGCCTTTTTTATTGCGCCGAGTTAAGGTGGATGTTGAGAAGCAGATGCCTAAAAAGTATGAACATGTTATCCGCTGCCGGCTCTCCAAGCGCCAACGCTATCTCTATGATGACTTCATGGCACAAACTACGTAAGGGAGAACTGAGGGTGGGTCCTGGGACTCTTAGATTGTAGCAAAGGTCAGAGGTGAGAGTTAGGATGCCCCATTTATTTTTCTTCTCTCTCAGAACTAAAGAGACACTAGCCACTGGCCATTTTATGAGCGTCATCAACATTCTGATGCAGCTGCGAAAAGTCTGTAATCATCCAAACCTGTTTGACCCTCGACCTGTTACCTCCCCCTTCATCACCCCAGGCATCTGCTTCAGCACCGCCTCTCTGGTCCTAGGGGCGACTGATATCCATCCCCTCCAGGTAAGTAGTTGCCCCCAAGGTTATTGGCCCTATCCCAAACCTTCATTTATTTTCTTTAGGCTAAAGTCTGATCTTTTGCATCCTTCCTTCTATCATCTTAAAACTATTCCCCTGCTTTTAGCTGTGATACTTTAGGCAAGCTAATTTCTAATCCTAATTTTGCTTGCCCTTCCAAATAGGGATTATATGGCCTATTTTGCAGTAGGTTTGTGAGAATTGTGTTAATCTTTTTTGAAAGGGCCTGGCATGTTAACATTTAACTATTTTGTTTTTCTGTTTCCTCTTTTTGGCTACTTCGTACACGCCTCCTCCAATTTTTAAAAAATATATATTTTATTGTGGTTTTTGTTTTTGTTTTTTATAGACAGGAAGAGAGAGGGATGGATTGTTAGAAACATCAATGAGAGAGAAACATTGATCAGCTACTTCCTGTACACCCCCTACTGGGGATGTGCCCGCAACCAAGGTACATGCCCTTGACCGGAATCGAACCTGGGACTCTTGAGTCAAATTGGTTAGGGCCTAATTTTTTTTTTTTTTTTTTAATATATATATTCTTTTATCTCAGAGAAGAAGGGAGAAGGGGGTGAAAGATAGAAACATCAGTGATCAGAGAGAATTATCTATCAATTGCCTCCTGCACACCCCCTATTGGGATTGAGCCCGAAATCCTGGAATCGAACTGTGACTTCCTGATTTGAGCTACACCGGCCGAGCTCATTTTTGTTTTTGTGGTAAAATACATAGCAGATTTTACTACTTGAACCATTTTAAGTATATGACTCAGTGGCATTAAGTACAGTTAATTTGTGCAACCCTTACCCACCATCCATCTTCAGAACTTTTCTCATCTTTCCAAATTGAAACTGTACATATTAAATATTAACTCCTCATTTTCACCCCCTCCCAGCTCTTGTTAGCCACCATTCTACTTGCTGTCTATAAATTTTAGTACTCTGAGTACTTCATATAAGTGGAATCATACAGTATCCTTTTGTAAATGGCTGTTTCATTTAGCAGAATGTTTTTAAGGTTCATACATGTATACCACATTTTGATTATACATTCATCCATCATTGGACACTTGGGTTGCTTCCACCTTTTGGCTATTTTGAATAATGCTGCTATGAACATAGGTGTACAAATATCTGTTCAATTCTCTCATTTTAAAAAATTAAATTTATTGGGGGGAAATTGGTTAATAACATTATACAGGTTTTAAGTATCTAATTCTAAAATACATCATCTGTATATTGCTTTGTGTGTTCACCATCCAAAATCAAGTCTTGTTCTGCCATCATACATTTGATCCCTTTTACCCTTCCTACCTCCTCCCTAACCCTTTCCCTGTGGTAACCACCATACTGTTGTATGTGTCTAGGGGTTTTTGTTTGTCTTATTTGTTCATTTGTTGCTTTCAGTTTTATATCCCACATAAGAATGAAATCATAGTTCTTGACTTTCAATTCTCTCTTGAGTATACAGTTATGCTCTGCTTAACGAGGGGGATATATTAAGAGAAATGTGTTTTTAGGTGATTTCATCATTGTGGTAACATCATAAAGTGCATTTACACAAACTAATTGGTGTAATCTACATACCTAGGCTATATGGTGTAGCATATTGCTCCTAGGTTTAATGCCTGAACAGCGTATTAGACTGAATACTGTAAACAGTAGTAATAAATGGCAAGTATTTGTGTATCTAAACATAGAAAAGGGGCAGTAAAAATATGGTATAAAAGTTAAAAATTATACACCTGTATAGGACAATTACCATGAATGGAGATTGTAGGACTGGAAATGGTTCTGAGTAAGTTGATGAGTGAATGGTGAGTTAATGTGAAGGTGTAGGACACAACTGTACACTTAAGCTACGTGAAATTTATAAAACAACACAAGATTAAGCGAAGCACAAGATAAATTGATACAATCAAGAGACAACATGTATGGGCTGCTGCTGGCCTAACAGCATACTGTTATATAGCAGACTTAAAAAAAAAAAAAAAAAAAAAAAAAAAAAACCAGGAAAAGTGCACTCTAAAATAATGGTAAAAACATAGTGTAGTAATTACATAAGCTTGTAATATAGTCATCATAATTGTTATAATTGTTAAATATGCACTATACAGATCTGGCTGGTGTGGCTCAGTTAATTGTTATCCCATGTACTGAGTGAGAGGTCACTGGTTTAATCCCCAGTCAGGGCACATTTCTGGGTTTAAGGCTCAATCCCCAGGAGGCAGCCAGTCTATGTTTCTCCCGTCTGTCTAAGAAAAAATCAATAAAAATTATTTTAAAAATGTGCTATACTTTTATATGACTGGTAGCATAGTAGGTTTTACACTAGCATTACCATAAACACAATGAATTGCACTTCAATATTAGGATGCCTAGACATCACTAGACAATAGGGATTTTTCAGCTCCATTATAATCTTATAGTACTACCCTTATATATACAGTCCTACATTGACTGATATGTGATACATGATCGTATATCCAGAAATGGAATTGCTGGATTATAGAGAAATTTGTAATTCTATTTTTAATTTTTTGAGGAAACACCATACTGTTTTCCATAGTTACTGCCAACCCTGTTATTTTTCTGTTTTTTTTTTTAAATAATATCTAAATGGGTATAAGGTAGTATCTTGTGATTTTTGACTTGCATATCCCTAATGATAGTGATGAGCATTTTGTGCTTATTTTGTGTTTTCTTTGGAGAAATGTCTATTAAAGGCCTTTGCTAATTTTTAAAACGGGTTGTTTGTGTGTTTTTGTTATTGAGTTGTAGGAGTTGTATGTTCTGGATATAACCCCTTATGAGATGTGATTTGCAAATATTTTGTCCCATTCTGTGGATTGCCTATTCATTCTATTGAAAGTGTCTTTTGATGGAGTTCAATTTATCAATTCATTTTGGTTATTGTCTGTGCTTTTGGTGTCGTATCTAAGAAATTATTGCCACATTGACCCCTTTGACACCATGCTTTGTGTTCTTTTTGTGCCAGCGGATAGACATGGGTCGTTTTGATCTTATTGGCCTAGAGGGTCGAATTTCTAGATATGAGGCCGACACATTTCTACCCCGGCACCGCCTGTCCCGCCGGGTACTGCTAGAGGTGGCTACTGCTCCTGATCCCCCACCCCGGCCCAAGCCGGTCAAGATGAAGGTCAACAGGTACCAGGGCTGAAGAATTAAGGGGATGGATTCCCAGAAAAACTGACTACAGCTGGCCGGGGGGGATTAGGATAGCAAGGAGAGATTCGGAGAGTAGGCTGGAATGTTTATATGGGACAGATGCAAAATACTGTGGTGGTATTAGGGGAGACAATAACTAGAGGGTCCTGGGAGGGGCCCTTGTGTTTGTCATTGATTCCCATCCCCTTCCCTCAGATAACCAAAAAGCTCCCTTTATCTTTTGGGTCTTTATCCTTTTCCCCTTTTGCTTTTACAATCTTTGTCTTTTTGTTGTCTTTCTAGTTCCTTTTTTTTTCTTACTCCTTATTCTTCCTCTTCACCTCCTTTTTTTTCCTCATAGGATGTTGCAGCCAGTGCCCAAGCAAGAAGGCCGGACAGTGGTGGTAGTGAACAGCCCACGGACCCTCCTGGGTCCTGTCCCAGTCCGACCCCCTCCAGGCCCGGAGCCATCAGCTCAGCCGACCCCTTGCCCAACCCCTCCACTGCTGCCAGCACCAGTGATGGTGTCAACCTCGCCTACCGGATCCCCACTTATTCCGGCCTCCAGGCCTCCAGCCCCTGTTCTGTTGCCCCCACTGCAGCCAAACAGTGGGCCTCTTCCCCAGGGTGAGTTACAAGAGAGCCAGAGTGTTGGGTTAGGGGCTCTTCAAGTAGATTGGTCAGAAGAATAAATAGAGAGTGAGAAGGTGGGTTAGAGACGGGTGTGGTCTTTGTTGGGTTGGAAGGGAGTATGTATGTGTGGAGGCTGCTGGGAGCTGGCTAAGGCTCTCATCAGGGTATATTTGACAGATGTTTCCTTTGTGTTTTCAGTGTTACCTTCCCCCCTAGGGGTCCTGAGTGGAACCTCACGGCCTCCCACACCAACCCTGTCCCTGAAGCCAGCCCCACCTGCCCCTGTTCGCCTGAGTCCTGCCCCACCCCCAGGCTCTTCCAGCCTGTTGAAGCCCCTGACAGTGCCACCAGGCTATACCTTCCCATCTGCCACTGCCACTGCCACCACTACTTCTACCACCACAGCTACTGCTCCTACCACGGCAGTACCAGCTCCTACTCCTGCACCACAGCGCCTCATCCTGTCTCCCGATATGCAAGCTCGCCTGCCCTGTAAGTTCCCAGGGCTCTGAGGGCGAGGGACTTGAGATGGGAGGAAGGCTTATATGCCCCAGAGCTGGAGAAGAAAAGCTCAGGAGTATGGGAGAGTATCAAATTCTAGTTAGCTGACATGCATAGGGTATTTTGCCAGACGTTGGTAACTCATAATCAAGAGCCCTCAGGAAGTTCACAATTTAGTTGGGGAGATGACATGTAAGTCTCATGGTAGAAAATCATGTGAGGTAAAAATCATAGAGCGGGGGGTTTTGAGTGGTTAATTAGCTCAGTATGGTGGCAGGCCTTTGCAGCAGTCACTAACCGGTGGTCTGTGAGGTCCAAAAGGTTGGCAACTGCTGCTTTCGATGATATCAAGGAAATGGTTAAGCAAATGAGTGGAATTGGAAGGAGTAGCGTGTCAAAAGTTCAGACTAATTGAAGGCTGAGCTTGTTGAAACATGAGAAATTGAGGGGAAAAGTTAGAGGAACTGAGACTTGTACCTCATGAGGGTCTGCAAAGTGGCATTGAGCCCTATGTTCATTAAGCCCCTTCTTTGTTTATAGCAGGTGAAGTGGTCAGCATCGGCCAGTTGGCCTCACTGGCACAGCGCCCAGTGGCTAGTACAGGGGGAAGCAAACCTCTCACCTTTCAAATCCAGGGCAACAAGCTGACTTTGACTGGTGCCCAGGTGCGCCAGCTTGCCGTGGGGCAACCCCGCCCGCTGCAAAGTAGGTAAAACCCACCCCCTGTCCTGCCTTTTTCCTCTTCTTTCTTATCCTCTTGTGTTTTTTTTTATGGCTCTTTGAAAATGTCAGCCTGTGTGTTTCTTTCCCTAGTATTTGGTGGGTGGGGCCAAAGAGAATGATTGGAAGAAGTTTTTTATAAAGATAAGGATGAGATCATTTTATTTATTAAAATATATTTTTATTGAATTCAGAGGGGAAGTGAGAGGGGGGAGAGAGAGATAGAAACATTAATAATGAGAGAGAATCATTGATCAGTTGCCTCCTGCCCACCACCCACTGGGGATTCAATCTGCAATCTGGGCATGTGCCCTGACTGGGAATCGAACTGTGACCTCCTGGTTCATAGGTCCATGCTCAACCACTGAGCCGAGCTGGCTGGGCCGGATGAAGTCATTTTAGAGACATTATCTTCTCTCTGTTCTTTCTCTCCTCTAGCCCTTGCCTTTTTGCCTCCATCCGGCTGATAGCTGCTTCTCTTTCTCTCTTCCCTTAACCCAGGGAATGTGGTGCACCTGGTGTCAGCAGGGGGGCAGCACCACCTCATCAGTCAGCCTGCCCATGTGGCCCTGATCCAGGCCGTGGCCCCGACCCCTGGCCCCACCCCTGTCTCTGTGCTGCCTTCTTCGACCCCCAGCACCACCCCTGCCCCCACTGGCCTCAGCCTTCCGCTTGCTGCTAACCAGGGTGAGGCTCCTGGCCTTCCTACTTAGCTCTTGCAGGCCTTGGTCCTTCCAGGCGTGTCCTGGACTACTGTCTGTTCAGCCTTCCCTCAGTATTGTTTTCCCTTGCTGGTGTCTCCAATATCTGTCTGCTTCCCTCTCCTGCCCCTGGACTTCTTCCATCTTTTGGGTCTCTTGTTTCTTTTCTACCTTTCCCTCAATGTAGCTTCCTCTTGCAGTGCCACCAACCATGGTGAATAATACAGGCGTGGTGAAGATTGTAGTGAGACAGGCCCCTCGGGATGGACTGACTCCGGTTCCTCCGTTGGCCCCAGCACCCCGGCCTCCGAGCTCTGGGATTCCAGCTGTGTTGACTCCACGGCCCACATTAACCCCTGGCCGGCTACCCACACCTACTTTGGGTGTTGCCCGGGCTCCCATACCTACATCCACTCTGGTGAGGCCCCTTCTCAAGCTGGTCCAGAGTCCTTCGCCTGAAGTCAATGGTGAGTCAATGTGGCTAAGGCCAGAAATGTTTACTAGGATTGGAGATGGAATGGCCCCAAGGGTTTTTTTCTTTCTTTTTTAAATACATTTTTATTGATTTTAGAGAGGGGGAGAGAGAGAGAGAGAAACATCAATGATGAGAGACTCATTGATTGGCTGCTTCCTGCACGCCCTCTATTGGGGATCGAGCCCATAACCTGGGCATGTGCCCTGACCAGGAATTGAACTGTGATCTCCTGGATATATAGGTTGATGCTCAACCACTGAGCCACCCTAGCCGGGTGCCCTAAGGCGTTTCTGTGACAACAGATCCCTTCATTATCCAGCATATTGACTTGCTGGGCAGTCAACATACATTTAATTCCAACATACATTTATTGGACGCTTGGAGGGAAAGGATATGTTAAGTTGCCAGATTCCTTGATTCTTTGATCTCATGGTGTGGGAATGAAGGTTTTTCTGGGAAACAGTTGAAACTTGCAAGTAAGAGAAGGGGTGGGACAGGATAATAGCAGGAGCAAGAAAAGAATTTTGGGCCTAACTCATCTTCTGTCTCCACAGCTTCAGCAACCGGAACTGCTCCCTTGACCATCTCCTCTTCCCTTCCTGTGCCATCTTCACTCCCTGGGCCAGCATCTTCAATGCCAGTTCCCAACTCCTCTCCCCTTGCTAGTCCTGTGTCCTCTACAGTCTCCGTTCCAGTGTCATCTTCACTCCCTATCTCTATCTCCACCACGCTTCCTGCCCCAGCCTCAGCTCCACTCACCATCCCAGTCTCAGCTTCCTTACCTGTTTCGGCTTCAGGCCCAACTGTGTTGACCACTGTGACTCCAACAGTGACCCCTGTTGTCTCAGCGGCTCCTGGGCTTCCCTCTTTGGCACCAGCTGGGACTTCCCCATCAGCCTCGGCCTTGACTTTAGGTTTGGCCACAACTTCATCCCTGTCCCCATCTCAGGCACCTGGCCACCCTCTGTTGTTGGCTCCAGCCTCTTCACATGTCCCAGGGTTGAATTCAGCTGTGGCTCCAGCATGTTCACCTGTCCTGGTGCCAGCTTCTGCTCTGGCTAATTCTTTTCCGGCAGCACCAAATCCAGCTCCAGCTCAGGCTTCCCTTCTGGCTCCAACACCTTCTGCATCTCAGGCTCTAGCCACCTCTATGGCTCCCATGGCGGCTCCACAGACAGCAATCCTGGCTCCTCCAGCTCCTTCCCTGACTCCTCTTCCAGTCCTGGCTCCATCACAGACTTCAATTCCAGTACTGGCTACATCACCTACTCCAGGAACTCCTATAGCCTCAGCTTCTTCACTGGTGCCAGTCCCAACTCCTGGTTTGGCTCCGTCATCAACTCAAACTATGGTACCAGCCCCGAATCCGTCACCTCTCCCAAGCCCAGCTTCTACACAGACACTGGCCTTAGCCCCAGCTTTAGCATCCACTCTTGGCGGCTCGTCTCCATCTCAGACACTATCTTTGGGAACAGGGAATCCCCAGAAGCCCTTTCCAGCTCAGACATTATCATTGACTCCAGCATCGTCCCTAGTACCAGCTCCAGCCCAGACACTGTCTTTGGCACCAGGACCACCACTGGGTCCAACTCAGACGCTTTCCCTGGCTCCAGCACCCTCTCTGGCTCCTGCTTCTTCGATGGGCCCAACTCCAGCTCACACTTTGACTTTGGCTCCGGTATCATCATCTGCTTCAATCCTGGCCCCAGCTTCAGTGCAAACACTGACCCTGAGTCCTGCCCAAGTTCCAGTGCCCACCTTGGGCCCAGCCACAGCTCAGACTCTGGCACTGGCCCCAGCCTCAACACAGGTCCCAGTTTCCCAGGCATCCTCCCTTGTGGTTTCTGTTCCTGGGGCCGCTCCCTTGCCCATCACCATGGTATCCCGGCTGCCTGTTTCCAAGGATGAGCCTGAGACACTGACATTGCGCTCTGGTCCCCCCAGCCCTCCCTCCACTGCTACCTCGTTCAGTGGTCCCAGGCCTCGACGCCAGCCCCCACCACCACCTCGTTCCCCTTTCTATCTGGTAAGTTTTACTGCCTCAAAAGAGAGGGAATGGGAGTTGAGTTTCTTTGGAATGTTGGCAGAATGGATGGAACAGAATAATGTCACTTTTATCTTGGTAAATTACAAAGTCTAGTTTTGTGGACCTGATACTTCAGTGCCATTGGACAAGTCCTTTTCCCTGAGCTTATATTATTTTCTGTAAAATGGGAATAATCATGTTCTACTTTTCTTTTTTTTTTAAATTATATTTTATTTATTTTTTATAGAGAGGAAGGAAGAGAGATAGTCAGAAACGTCGATGAGAGAGAATCATCGACCAGCTGCCTCTTGCACACCTCCTACCGGGGATGTGCCCGCAACCAATGTACATGCCCTTGACCGGAATCGAACCTGGGACCTTTCAGTCCGCAGTCCGACGCTCTACCGCTGAGCCAAACCGGTTTCAGCTCTACTTTTCTTATAGGGATAATTGAGGACCTATTGTGCTTTTAAACTATTCATTGATACGTTATTGTTATCCCTGGTCTCTTTCTTCCTGCTTCTCTTTTGAGTTAGTGTTGGCATTTAATTGCCTCATTTTACAGATGAAGAAACTAGCCTATTAAATGATGTTGTAAATGTTACACAGCTTATGAGAACAGAGATGTGCTGACTCCATTGCTTTCTCCTCTTCCCCACAAGAGGCAGTCCTCAGAGACAGACTTACTTTCTTCAGTTGCTGAAACTATTACCATCATCAAGTATTTGAACTTCTAAGGGAGGGATGACACTATGGAATACAGTTCCCCAAAGATCATCATCCTACTTTGATGGCCATTTCTTAGTTTTTTTTACCTCCATGGTGATTAAGTGGCAATAAAAGAACTCTGGCCCTGGCCGGGTGGCTCAGTTAAAATGTCACCAAAAGGTTGTGGGTTTGATTCCCAGTCAGGGCACATACCGGTTGTGGGTTCAATCCCTGGTCAAGGCACATATAAGAGGCAACCAATCAATGTTTTTCTCTCACACAGATGTTTTTCTCTCCCTCTCCATTCCTCTTTCTCTAAAACATCAATAAAAACATATCCTTGGGTGATGATTTAAAAAAAAATAGAACTGTTACCTATGTTTCCTATCCCTTAGCTTTCTGTTAGCCATTGTTTTTCAATCATGTAAATAGTTCCATACATGTGTGTTTAAGTTAAACTTACAACTCAGATTCAAGTAAGTAATCCAGGAACAAATTAGAAGAAAGATCTAATGAATCTCCCCAGGCCTTCTTATCTTTTGCTCATTCTATTACAGAGCTGCTGCTTATTCTTTGCCCCAGCCTCAGTCTCCCACCCAGTCTCAGTGCGACTAACTCCACCTTTTGTCTTTCTGGTACTGCCAAGATCTGTCTGGCTTGTTGGAAGTAAAAGAGAATCTAGACCTTAGCCCAAATGTGACAGCCCATGGTCTATGCTAAATTTAGGTTGCTGTGCAAGTAGATAGCAGCTTTTTGACACTATTTTTTCCTTAAACAATTTGAAATATGTCACATACCATACAGTTAATTCATTTAAAGTACACAAAATCAGTGGCTTTTATTATATTCACAGAGTTGTGCAGCCATTACCACAATCTTACTTTGGAACATTTTTATGGCCTTAAAGAGAAACTTCACACCCTTAGCCATCATCCCCGAACTTCGCTATCTCTCCTAGCCTTCAGCAACTACTTATTTATTTTCTGTCTTTATAGATTTGTTTGTGAAGTCACAAAATATACAGCCTTTTGTGATTGGCCTTTTTTTAAAAATTTTTTTATTGATTTTGTACAGAGAGGAAGGGAGAGAGAGAGAGAGAGAGAGTTAGAAACATCAATGAGAGTCATCGACCAGCTGCCTCTTGCACACCCCCTACCGGGGATATGCCCGCAACCAAGGTACATGCCCTTGACCGGAATCGAACCTGGGTCCTTCCAGTCCCCAAGCCGACGCTCTATCCATTGAGCCAAACCGGTTTCGGCTGTGATTGGCTTTTTTAACTTGGCTTAAGTTCCTGAGGTTCATTCATGTTATAGCATATATCAGTACTTAATTTCTTTTTATTGTTAAATATTCCCTTTTATGGATAGAGCACATTTTCTATATTCATCAGTTGATAGGGACATTTGAATTATTTAACTTGTTGGCTGTTACGAATAATGCAGTTATGAAATAAGATCTTGTGTCTTTTCATGTTTTCCATTATGTTGGATGTATACCTAGGACTGGAATTGCTGGGCCATATGATAATTATATTAAATTGTTTGAGGAACTGCCAAACTCTTTTCCAGTGTAGCTGTACCATTTTATATTCCCACTGACACCTGCTTCCAGGAGCTCCACATCTTTGACAACACTTGTTAGTTGTCTTTATTATATTCTAGTGTGTATGAAGTGGAACCTAATGGTTTTGATTTGCATTTGTCTGATGGCTAATGATGTTGTGCATCTTTTAAGTGGTTGTTGACAATTTGTTTATCTATATATATAAAAGCCAAGCATCAGAACGATTGGTTGCTATGATGCACACTGCAGCGGCCAACCAGGCCAATTGGGGCCCTGATTGCCCGCCCCCAACCTCCCACAGGGCCGCCTGGTGTGTTGTTGGCATCCTCGTCCCTCCCTTACCCCTCAGCCAGCCTTAACCTTATCTGCCCCCATCAGGGAAGGCCACCTGGACCCCACCCATGCACAAATTTGTGTACCTGGCCTCTAGTCTTTTTTTTTTTTCTTTTTCTTTTTTTATATATTATATATATATCTTATTGATTTTTTACAGAGAGGAAGGGAGAGAGATAGAGAGCCAGAAACGTCAATGAGAGAGAAACATCGAACAGCGCCTCCTGCACACCCGCTATTGGGGATGTGCCCGCAACCAATGTACATGCCCTTGACCGGAATCAACCTGGGACCTTTCAGTCCACAGACAGACGCTCTACCACTGAGCCAAACCGGTTTCAGCATAGTCTTTGAAGAAATGTCTCTATGATCCTTTGCCCTTTTTAATTGGGTTATTTATTCTTATTGAGTTGTAAGAGTCCTTTATATATTCTAGATACAAGCCCCTTTCAGATTTTCAAATCTTTCCTCTTTTGCTACTATTTGAGAACTCACCTGGATTGATTTTTCACTGTACTAGGGATGCTTTCTCACTTAGATCACAAGGAGCCAAGTGGTTAAGCCTGATGTAGCCATCAAAAAGGGAGATTTGGGCACTGGCTGGTGTGGTTCAATTGGTTGGAGCATTGTCCCATGCACCAAAAGGTTGCAGGTTTGATTCCTGGTTTGGGCCCATACCCAGGTTGTGGGTTTGATCCCTGGTTGGGGTGTGTATGGAAGGCACTAGATCGGTGTTTCTCTCCTCTCCCTCCCCCCTTTTCTCTCTCTATAAAATCAGTGAAAATAAAATCCTTTTTTAGTGAGGATTAAAAAACAAAACAAAAAAGAACCCTGATGTTTTTCAGGACCATTTCTAGGATCCCTTCTATTAACAAATTTATTGACAGCCTACTTTGTGTCAGATACTGAGCTAGGTAGTGGGTGATTATAGTTAAGATAAGATAGTGTCCATGATATATGGGACTTAAATTTAGTGGGTAGAAGGCATTAATCAAAGATATCCCCTTCCCTTTCTTACAAAGTAAAATTGCAAGTGTAGTAAGTGCTTAAAAACATACATATATATAGAGAGGTGGTTTTATAACCTGTGAAACTGGAAACAAGATATGGGAAAGGACTGAGTCAAAGTCATACAGATATGGTTTTGATTTGCATTTGTCTGATGGCTAATGATGTTGTGCATCTTTTAAGTGATTGGCCTTTTTTTAGGAATCTGCCAGGCATTCCCCTTTTCTCGCTTAGAGTGATATCTAAATATCTGGTTATGTTCCCATCCCTGTTCATTCTAGTCTGGCCCTTGGTAGAAACATGCTGTGGATTTAATTAGTCTTTCTGTATCCTGGTCAGTGATTTGAGGAAGGCTATCAATACTTGTTTTTTTATATACTGCAAGAAGATAAATTAATTGAATGTTTTAGAGTTAAATGTTATATAGGAAAATTTCCACAAACCATCTATTTTATAAGATTTTTGGAATGCAGATCTTAAATTTGAATATTCAGGCATTCTGCTTTGGTGGCATACAAGGAAAGATCAGGGTTTTTTTGTTTTTTTGTTTTTAATATATTTTATTGATTTTTAACAGAGAGGGAGAGAGAGAGAGAGAGAGCTAGAAACGTTGATGAGAGAGAAACATTGGCCAGCTGCCTCTTGCACACCCCCTACAGGGGATGTGCCCGAAACCAATGTACATGCCCTTGACCAGAATCGAACCTGGGACCTTTCAGTCCGCAGACCGATGCTCTACCACTTCGCCAAACCGGCTTCGGCAGGAAAGATCAGTTTTGCAGAGAATTTATTACATAAAAATTGTGAAAGGAGTAATTGATGATTTGGAAAATTAAAAGCATAATGTACTTTAAAATCTTATGGTTCACATAGATTATGTTTAATTGTGAGAGGAACTGTCAGGTTTTCTGTAAGGACACTGATTACTTATTCTGTGTTTTTCGTTGTTTTTTTTCTCTCATCTCCAGGACTCTCTAGAGGAAAAGCGAAAACGACAGCGGTCTGAACGCCTGGAACGGATTTTCCAACTTAGTGAGGCTCATGGGGCCCTGGCACCTGTGTATGGGACTGAAGTCCTGGATTTCTGTACCTTGCCCCAACCTGTTGCCAGCCCCATCGGCCCTTGTTCTCGCCCCAGCCACCCCACCTTTTGGACTTATACTGAGGCTGCCCGCCGGGCTGTACTGTTTCCTCAGCAACGCCTAGACCAGCTGTCTGAAATCATTGAGAGGTTGGCAGGACTAAGTGGTCGTGGGAAGAGGGTCTTGGGGCTTCTGAGTGGATGTAGTGGTTAGGGATGTTGAAGGTGCTATCTCTTGGGACTCTACAGAGTTTCATCTTTTATACTGCTTGCCTCTTCCTTTTGCAGGTTCATCTTTGTCATGCCTCCTGTGGAGGCACCTCCCCCTTCCCTGCATGCCTGCCACCCACCTCCTTGGCTGGCCCCACGTCAGGCAGCCTTCCAGGAGCAATTGGCCTGTGAGCTCTGGCCCCGGGCTCGTCCTTTGCACCGTATTGTGTGTAACATGCGCACCCAGTTCCCTGACTTGAGGCTTATCCAGTACGATTGCGGTGAGTTCATTGACCAATGAGGGTTCCTTGACCTCTTTTACTCCTTTTCAGGGATGTTGTATATTAGGTCTTGGTAGATTTCATTAAACATTAGACAGTTTTTTCAGGTTATGCTTATGGGCAAGATAGAGAATTGTAGACATGATGAATTCTCATCATTCATGAATTTGACTTTGGTGAAAGTTGAAAATGTGTATTAACTCATTTATTTGTTCAGTGATTATTTTGTGAACATCTGTTTTGCTAATCATTGAGGTTACAAATGGTGAAAAAGATAGCACAGCATGGAGTTTTCAGATTTATGCTGCACAGTAAATAGTAAATTTTGTTTTGTGAAAAGACAAGAATTATTACCTTTTGGTTAGAGTACTTTTTTATTTTATTTTATATTTTTATTGATTTTTTACAGAGAGGAAGAGAAAGGGATAGAGAGTTAGAAACATTGATGAGAGAGAATCATCGATCAGCTGCCTCCTGCACCAGCCCCACTGGGGATGTGCCCACAACCTGGGTTCATGCCCTTGACCGGAATCGAACCCACGACCTTTCAGTCCACAGGCCGACGCTCTATCCACCGAGCCAAACCGGTTTCAGCTGCCATCCTTAATTTTTATCTTTTTATTCTCATGCTTGTTTCTTCTTGGTCAGAAGATGGCTGCCATAACTCCAAAGAGCCCACCAAATGCTCTGAGTAGGAAGCAAGGGGTTGAAATAAAAGACTTCTAGCAAATTTTCTTTTCTGGGAAAGAAAGCTCTCCCAGTTGAGTTTGCTTCATAATTAATTAGCTAAATTGGGCCATATGCCCATCCCTGGAGCAATTACTGTCAAAAGGTAATGCAAAAAGGAACTTTGGCTTGCTGAAACCTGGTGGGGGGGTGTGCAGGAGGCAGCTGGTTGATGTTTCTCTCTCAACGATGTTTCTATCTCTCTATTCCTCTCCCTCTGTAAAAAATCAATAAAATATATTTAACAACAAAAAAAGGAACTCTGGCTTATTTAGGATCACTCATGAGTTGTCTTCTGGGCTGGGTTGAGGCTTGCCTTGCCAGATGTCCACAGTGTTATTCAGGTACTGTTAACCAAGAATGTCTTTTTGTCACAATCCTGCACAGATATTTCTATAGTAACATTTGTTTGGAGATTTTCTAAATGTCTTATAAGAAAGTCAGCAGAATTTTTATTACTATACACAATATATATTTTAGTAAAAACCATTTGAAATTATTTAGAATAGATGAATTCAAATCTTAGTTAAAGTGTTTCAGATTGACTTACTAGAAATATTTCAGAAGTTAATTCCATGTTTGATGGGACGTTGATCCTGAGATAACCTAGGATCTTGCCTTAATGGTTCTGATCTCGGTGACCTTCAATCCCTGTCTGTAAACCATGAATCGGGATTTGTTGATAATTTATTCTGTGAATCAGCTGGTATAACTCATTGTAGTACTTAAAAATTTCTTACTCAAATACTACTGCAGATTCTCTCCCACTCTTCCCCCAGGGTGTATATTACCCTACTCCTAGTAAGACTATAGAAGTTAAATTCAAGACAAAAGTAGACTGAAGAGGAGAACACTTAGGGAAAGAAAATAGGTTAATTCAGATTTTTTGGTATCCTGTGCTAATTGAAATCCTGGCCTAAAATTTTGGTTACCATCCAACTACAGCCTTCAGTGTTGTTTATAGCTAGCTCCCTGCACCCCTTCATATCTCTTCAGGAAAGTTGCAAACGTTAGCAGTGCTGTTGCGACAGCTCAAGGTGGGGGGCCACCGAGTACTCATATTCACCCAGATGACTCGGATGCTGGATGTACTGGAGCAGTTTCTAACCTACCACGGTCACCTCTACTTGCGTCTGGATGGGTCTACTAGAGTTGAACAAAGACAGGTAATCCAGGCATTGCAACCCTAAGAGACACCTCAGCTTCTGTCTCCTTTTTCCAGACCTTGGGGTCCAAGAAGGAGCCCCACTAAACCTTGGGTCTTTTTTGGGGGTATTTCTCCCAATGTTATCTTTTTTTTTCCCTTTCCCTCTAGGCCTTGATGGAACGATTCAATGCAGACAAGCGTATATTCTGCTTCATCCTTTCAACTCGGAGTGGGGGTGTGGGCGTGAACCTGACGGGAGCAGACACTGTTGTTTTTTATGACAGCGACTGGAATCCCACCATGGATGCTCAGGCCCAGGATCGCTGTCACCGAATTGGCCAGACCCGAGATGTTCACATCTATAGGTATTGCCTAATCTCCCCTACCTTGCTTCCCCTTTGCTAGAAGGATTTTATTGATGTATTTGGCTGTTTACCCATGGCTTTCACCAACCCCTAGGCTTATCAGTGAACGGACAGTGGAGGAGAACATCCTAAAAAAGGCAAATCAGAAGAGAATGTTGGGAGACATGGCCATTGAGGGAGGCAACTTTACAACAGCGTATTTTAAACAGGTACTACTCTCTTCTAGCCTATGGAGAATAGAACTGCTTTTTACTCCTTATGAAAGAGGATGCTCTGACCTTTACAGACATGCATCTTCAACCAGTGGCCTGATACTTCTAAGAGCTGTCATCAGTTTCATAGTTGTAGGCCTGGGACCAGCATTCCATTGACTCGGACGTTTTTTCTTCTGTTCTTTCCAAAGCAGACCATTCGAGAGCTGTTTGATATGCCCCTGGAGGAGTCATCTGGCTCCTCTATACCCTCTGCCTCTGAAGAGGAGGAAGAAACTGTGGCCAGCAAGCAGACCCACATCCTGGAGCAGGTGAAAAAAGTGGGCGGTCCCCAGAGGAGAACTAATGGTTATAGTGTGTGTTGTCTTTGGATCTATTGAGTTTGTCCAGAGGGAAAGAACTATTTCTGCTACTTCTCAAATTATAGTTGGCCTTTGATAGTTGTGAATAGATTGTTTTCTATGGTTTTATAGAAAAAAAGACAGGATTTAGTTTTTATTTCTAACTTTTATTTCTAAGTTAAAAAAAAGCAGCAGTGCTTTTTAAAAACACACACACTCTCTCACACACACACACACACATATATATATATATACACACACACACACATATTTATTTACTTAAATACGTTTTTATTGATTTTAGAGAGGGAGATGGGAGAGAGAAAGAGAAACATCGATGTGAGAGAGAAGCATTGATAGGATCAGCTGCCTCCTGCATGCACCCCAATCCAGCATCAAGCCGGAAACCTGGACGTGTGCCTGGACTAGGACTAAACCAGTGACCCTTCAGTGCATGGAATGACCAATAACTGAGCCACACTGGCCAGGGCCAGCAGTGCTTTTTAATAATAGTATTTGTTAAGCTTAGTCTGTTTAATCTTCTGAACCTTACTTTCCATTTTTCTAAAATGCTAATGACAAGAAAGTAACTAAGGTTAAATGACATGTGGATTAAGAAGTGCTTTGTTGCCCTTCTGGTGTGGCTGTGGTTGAGTGTCAACTTGTGAACCAGGAGGTCACAATTTGATTCCCAGTCAGGGCACATGCCCAGGTTGTACACTTGATCCCCAGTAGGGTGTGTGCAGGAGGCAGCCGAGCAATGAATCTCTGCACCATTGATGTTTCTATCTTTCTCTCCTCCCTTCCTCTCTGAAATCAATAAAAATATATTTATTTTTTAAAAAGAAGTATTTTACCTTAGCCGTTTTGGTTCAGTGGATAGAACATCGGCCTGCAGATCAAAGGGTCCCAGGTTTGATTCTGGTCAAGGGCACATGCCTGGGTTGCGGGCTCAGTCCAACAATGCAGGAGGCAGTCAATCAATGATTCCCTCTCATCATTGGTGTTTCTCTCTTCCTTTCTCTTGCTCTCTGAAAGTAATAAAATATATTTTTTTAAAATAAAAATATAAAAGAAGTGTTTTATACATGGGTAGAATTCATTTTCTAAACATTGTTGCATAATAAAATCACTTGGGAAGTTTTTAAAAGGATTGATTCCTGGATTTCATCTAAAAATCTAAATCATTATAGGAGGTGAAGTCTGATCATGTGTATTTTTTCAGAGCTCTTCAGAAGTAAACATGTTTAGGAACTACAGATGTAAAGTGTCATGGAAATGTTTTTCTCTACCTGGTGCCTTCTCATGGTTGACCATACTCTAGGCTAGTTCCTTCAGTGACTTGGGTATAAGCTCCCATCATATCTCAAGGGAAAAATTAGATGTGGTTAATCTATTGCCATGAAACATCTCAGTATAAAAAGATAATTTTGTTTTTAAAACTTTCTGCCTTAAAATTTTTTTTTTTCATTGTTGGAAGTATTACATATGTCCCCTTTTCCCTCCATTGACCTCTTGTTGCCCACTCCCCCCCCCCCTCCCCCCAGGCTTTTACTATAGTCTATGTCCATGGGTTATTCATAACGTGTGTGTGTGTGTGTGTGTGTGTGTGTGTGTGTGTGTGTGTGTGTGTGTATATATATATATATATATATATATATATATATATATGCCTAAGTAGCTTTTATGACCAAATGACGGGTTGCTGTGACATGCACTGACCATCTGGGGACAAACGCTCAACACAGGAACTTCCCCCTCGTGGTCAGTGTGCTCTCACAGCCAGCTTTTCAAGGCCCTTTCCCTGATGGGCCTGGATTAGGGATGGTGCCAGCCAGCCAATTTCCTAAGGCCTCTTCCCCCTAGCTGGCCTCAATTGTTGGCCAGGCCAAGGGACCCCACCCATGCATAAATTCGTGCACTGGTGCTCTAGTATGCCTGTAAGTTATTTGGTTGATCTCTTCTCTCCCCTACCCCCCTCCCACCGTTCCATCCTATGTGTACAACTGCATTGCTTTGGTAACTTGGGGGCCCAGATGAGAGTTGTGTTCTGTTACCTATATACCGTGTTTCCCCGAAAATAAGACATCCTCCGAAAATAAGACCTACTTACAGGTTTCCTTCTGAGTGAAATATAAGGCATCCCCCTGAAAATAAGGCCCCCCTAGGCTAAACATGAGAGATTTGGTCCACTGATTCTGAAAGAAATGGAGTCACAAGAAATTCACCAGGAAATTCAGGAATTGGATTGTTATGATGATGTTTCAGAAGATGATGACATGATTGTCATTGAATAAATGAGTAAATTCTTGATACTATAGGATTCACAGTTTGTCTGGTTTGTGTTGACAACTACCGTACTACCATACCGTATACAGGTAATAAATTTTCTTCATTTTTATTTAACAATAAATGTGTACCGTATTCTTCTTCATGGAAAAATAAGGCATCCCCTGAAAATAAGACCTAGCACATCTTTGGGAGCAAAAATTAATATAAGACATCCTCCGAAAATAAAACCTAGCGCATGGAAAAATAAGACATCCCCTAAAAATAAGACCTAGCCTAACTTTGGGAGAAAAAATATAAGACACTGTCTTATTTTCGGGGAAACAGTGTGTGTGTGTGTGTGTGTGTGTGTGTGTGTGTGTGTGTGTATAAAAGCCCAGTGACCAGAACATGAGAATGACCAGAATGAACCATGGCTATGATGTGTTCTGTGGCGGCCAACCAGCCTGATCCAGGCCCCAGTTGGCTCCCACCTCCACCCTGATTGGGGGTGGGGCTGGCCAGCCAACCACCCGCAGTCCCTCCCCCTGGCCAGCCCCAGGCAAGCCGGCCGGACCCCACCCATGCACAAATTTGTGTACCAGACCTCTAGTAATGTTAGAAACCTGGTTTGGTATAAATGTTTTTTTGTTGTGTCATATCTGGGCTTGATCCAGACAACATTTAATTTATTCCAGAATCTACCATGTAGAGTGAAGAACCAATTTAGCCCAGTCCTTACAATAATGGTATCACTTTTAAAGCACTTAATAAATTATAAACATGTGGTATGTTTAAATACAGTAAATGCCTCTGGTTAAGCAGGCCACGTGCTTTGATCTCATTTTACAGATGAGAAAACTGCTCCTTAGAATTTAACTAGCTTGTCTGTGAAAAAAAGGGAAAGACAAAACCATGACTGGGACCCAGGGTTTTTGAGCCCAGTGTTTTTTTGTTTCCTTATTTCGTTGTAAACTTGGCCTCAGATTTTTGCCAAAATCAAATCACAGGATGTAAAGTTTTTTAATTCTCATGGATTTTCTTCCACATGCCCTTGCAGGCATTATGTCGGGCAGAAGATGAAGAAGATATCCGTGCAGCCACCCAAGCCAAGGCTGAACAGGTTGCTGAGCTTGCAGAATTCAATGAGAATGATAGTTTTCCTGCTGGTGAGGGAGAGGAGGCTAGTCGGCCTGGGGCTGAGGATGAGGAAATGTCCCGAGCTGAGCAGGAAATTGCTGCCCTTGTCGAACAGGTCAGTGTTGGACCAACCAGTTCTCAACTCCTTCTAGACTCTGACCCTCTTACTTTCCCTGGTAAAAATAATCACAGCTAGATGGGTGGGCCCAGGACACCAGGTCCCTCTGTTCATCACCACTCTTCCTCCCCACAGCTGACCCCTATTGAGCGCTATGCTATGAAATTTCTGGAAGCTTCATTGGAGGAGGTGAGCCGAGAGGAGCTCAAGCAGGCAGAAGTGAGTAGTTCTAGGAGGTGGGAGACTACTGTTTTCTACCCACTACCACCTTGAGTGCCTCTCTCTGACCACCCTGTGGGGTCTGTTGTTGGTAGGAGCAAGTGGAAGCTGCCCGCAAGGACCTGGACCAAGCCAAGGAGGAGGTGTTCCGCCTACCCCAAGAGGAGGAGGAGGGACCAGGGGCTGGGGATGAGGTTTCCTGTGGGACTGGTGGAGGCAGCCACCGGCGCAGTAAGAAGGTCAAGGCCCCTGAAAGGCCAGGGACTCGAGTCAGTGAGCGTCTTCGTGGAGCCCGGGCTGAGACTCAAGGGGCAAACCACACTCCTGTTGTATCCACTCATCATACCCGCAGCACTTCCACGCCCCCCCGCTGTAGCCCTGCCAGGGAGCGAGTTCCCAGGCCAGTGCCTAAGCCTCGACCCACTCCTCCAGCTTCAGCTGCTGCAGTTCCCATCCCAGTCCCTGCCCCAATTCCCATTTCAGCTCCAAATCCATTAACCATGCTTCCTGTCCCTATCTTGCCTTCTCCCCCACTTCCTCCACAGATTCCTCCCCCTTGTTCTTCTGTCAGTACACCACCTCCTGCCTATACCCCTCCACCAGCTCATACCCCACCTCCAGCTCAAACCTCTGTCTTAACTCCTACCTCCCCTCTCTTGCTTAATCGACCTTCTGTGCCCATCTTTCCCCCAGTCACCAACCTCTCCTTGGACTTGGGGCCTGAGGCAGAGCTGTGTACACAAACATTGGCATCTAGTGAGTCCCTAGAGCTGGTTGATGTGGCCCCCTCTGAGACTTCCCCGCCTACTCATGTGCCCCCTAAGGATCTGTTGCCAGTTGCTGTTGAGATCCTGCCTGTGACAGAAAAGAACCTTTCTCTCACCTCTTCTGCACCTAGCCCAATCCTGGAGACTGGCAGTTTCCCCAATGGTCAAGAGCAGGAGGTACCAGAGCCTGCTGAGGGGACCATCCTCTCAGTGCTGCCTGATGGTGAGGAGGTGCCCACATGTCCGAGTGAGAACAGTGGTGTGGCGCTCCCACCTTCCGCAGTATCTGATGAGCAACTTCAGTTGCCATTGGAGGCTGACAAGAACTCAGAAGAGCTCATGGAAGCCCAGACCCCAACATCCAGCCCACAGAAGCTGCAGGAACTTGCTTCAGCTGAGGTTACAGCTCCATCAACCTCATCTTCAGCCACCTCCTCACCTGAGGGTTCTTCACCTGCCCGGCCCCCTCGACGTCGCACCAGTGCCGATGTAGAAATTAGGGGTCAAGGGGCTGGTCGGCCGGGGCAGCCTCCAGGCCCCAAAGTTCTTCGCAAGTTGCCAGGACGGCTAGTGACTGTGGTAGAGGAAAAGGAACTGGTGAGGCGACGGCGACAGCAGCGGGGAACTGCCAGCGTTCTAGTGCCTGGGGTCCCGGAGACTGGTGCCAGCCCAGGAAGCCCATCTGCCCGCAACATGTTGGGGCCAGAATCCTCACCACCTACCAGTGGGCCCTGTGAAACTGCTGCCCCATCCGTACTGCCCACCCCAACCCAGCAGCCCTTCATAGCTCGCCGTCACGTTGAGCTGGGGGTGACTGGAGAGGGCAGTCCAGAGAATGGAGAAGGGGCACTGCTTGCCATCACCTCTCCTGCTATGAAACGTCGGAGGGGGAGGCCTCCCAAGAAGAACAGGTCTCCCGCAGATGCTGGACGAGGGGTGGATGAGGCCCCTTCGTCCACCTCCAAGGGAAAAACCAACGGGGCTGACCAGGTTCCAGCTGGGGCTGACCCCCTTACTGTTGCAGAGCCTGTTTTGGGACCCCCACTTATTGCTGGGCCCCAGCCTCTTGAACCCCAGCCAACTCATAGACCCGAGCCCATCATCCTATCACCTGTGGAGAAAAGAAGGCGTGGGCGGCCCCCTAAGGCACGTGACTTACCCATTTCTGGGACCATTTCCTCTCCAGGGGATGGCAGCTTAGAGAGCAGGACACAGCCGCTCCCAATGCCACCACTTCCACCACTCCTAGCCTGTCCCATTGCTACTGTCGCCAACACTGTCACCACTCTTACCATTTCAACATCCCCACCTAAGAGGAAGCGAGGCCGGCCTCCCAAGAATCCGCCATCGCCACGGCCCAGCCAGGTCCCTGTTTTGGACCGTGACACGTCTTCTGTCCTGGAGAGCTGTGGACTGGGGAGGCGGCAGCAACCCCAGGGCCAGGGGGAGAGTGAGGGTAGTTCTTCTGATGAGGATGGAAGCCGCCCACTCACCCGCCTGGCCCGCTTGCGCCTTGAAGCAGAGGGGATTCGGGGACGAAAAAGTGAAGGGTCCATGGTGGTGGCTGTAATTCAGGATGACTTGGATTTGGCAGATGGACCAGGCGGGTTAGAATTGGCACCTCCCGTGGTCTCGGCTCCAAAACTGCGCTCCACCCGGCTACGCCCAGGTTCTCTAGTTCCCCCACTAGAGACGGAGAAGGTGCCTCGCAAACGGGCAGGTGTCCCAGTTGGCAGAGGTCCTGGGCAGGCAAAGCGGAGCTGCCTGCAGTCCCCAAGTCCCCTGGGGCCTGAAGGTTCAGTAGAAGAGTCTGAGGCTGAAGCCTCAGGTGAAGAGGAGGAAGGGGATGGGACCCCACGCCGCAGGTCTGGCTCCCACCGCCTTGGGGCAACAACCAACCAAGGGGACCAGCGCATCCTACGCAGCAGTGCCCCACCCCACCCAGCTGGCCCCACTGTTAGTCACAGAGGCCGAAAGGCCAAGACGTGAGTGGGCTGCCCCTCCACCAAGGCTTTCCACCATGGCCCCTCCCTCCACAACCAGGCCTGACTCTGTTAACCACTACTTGAAGTCTTGAGGGGGAAAGCCTCCAGGGAGACAGGGGCCTTCTCCCTTCTTTCCACCAAAGTAGGGGGTAGGAAATGGTCCCAATGGTTGTCATGGAAATGGGGCACTTCACATATTCCCTTCCCTTTCACCCCACATGGCTGGGCAGTGTTAAGGGTGGCAAGATAGTCTCTGTCCCCACCCCCTTGTACTTGATTCCCCACCAGTCTTTCACAGTCCTCCACCCTTAAGGAAAGGGGGAAGGACTTCTCTACAATAAGGTTTTTTTTTTTTTCTTTTCTTTTTTTTTAAGAAGAAAAAATAATAAACTTAGTTTCTGTATGAGCATCCGCGTAAGGAGGCTTCTGATTTTCTGGTCTGGTGGAGGGTTGGGTGGGAACTTGGGCATCTTTTTTATTTCCCTTCCTCCTGCCAAGATCCTAGTACCTCCTCTCTAACACAGAATTACATATCTTGGAGGAAGAAATGTTCACCTAAGAAGAGGGAAGATTTGGCAAATCTGATCTGGTAGGGTACCTTTCTCTAAAGTTTTAGTTTTCAGTCACTCAGACTCTCGCTTTTCCTCTCCTCTCTTCTATTCTCTCAGTTCCTGGACTTTCCCTCAAGCCCTCTGATGCCTTAGACTTTTCCCTGCTTTTATCGTTCTTGCTCAGGTGCTTTTCCTTTTCCAGAAGGCAGGCATCACTACCCTGGGTTGCTCCCATTGTTTTTCCTCCCTTGCTTTCCTCCATCTAGCCAAACTGGTTTGAGTCAGCTACACCCCCATATGAGCTCCTGGGGCTCTTCAGGTGGTGGCTGGCCACCCAACCCCACCCCTGGGCTTGGCTTGGAGCCCTGAGTCGGCTCCATCTCTACCCAAGCCAAATCAAACCTGAGGCAGAAGCCGAAACTCACAGTACCTCAAGGCCTATAGCCAGGTAAGAGCCCCTGTTCATTTTACATTTTCTCTGATCTCAACTCCCTGGCCCCTCTCCTTGTGTTCTCCCCATCATGTCTGTATCTGTTTACTCCATCCAAGTTCTTTTCTCAAACCCACTTCTGCAGCTTTGTGGCACATATCTTTGCTTATCTTGCCTCTTTTCACCCTTTTTATCCTTGGTTAAACAGAGAACAGCAAATGGTTTTATTTTATCTAGGATGTAGGGGAATGATTGCAAATGGTGGTTTGGTTTCAAAGCTCAGAGGACCTGAGAACTAGGGAGATGAGAAATGGTTAAGTAGGGCATCATTATGCAGGTTTCTGTTTGGGTTATGAGGTCATTCAAACTCAGTGTTAATCTGATTGTGTTGTGTGGCCTGGTTTGAAATGGAGAGGAGATGGCAGGGAGTCAGTATAGCAAAGGAGGCCCTATTGGAGAGAGATTTAAGGTCTTTTCTGATGTTCAGTTTCCTCAACTATAAAGAGCTTAGATGGGTACTTTTTCCTTCCTTTCTCCCATCTCCAGAATTATCACATGAAGTGGCAGTTTTGCTTGAAGTAGGGAATGGCCTACTGTATCAGTCTGAGGCACTTCGGGGAATTGTAGTGCCCTTTGAAAAACAGTTTAAAAATCAGACTTTGATAGTCTCCGATTTCTAGCAGCTGTTGAGATTCTATTTCCTGCTTCTCAGTGTGCACTGGTCATTCTACTTCTCCCAACTTGTCAAAACAATAATATAGATAATGCTATGTTCACGCCTTTAAAGACTTGAAATCTTAGTCTGAGGAAGGATTCCAGCCACACATTTCCTCTCTTGGTCTATGAGTCATTAGAGGAATTCCCTAGTAAGGTGGCGTTCTTAAGATTGGGCTAGGCCACAAGGATATGATTAGAGCGGGGTGGAGCCTGAGAAAGCCAAGCCAAGAGCTCGGTTTTGGGGCTTAAAAGTACCTCGACTATATCGCCCACAGGTGATGGAGGACGAGGAGAATGCAGTGGAGATCTTGGTGAGCAACACGGAAGCTGCTCATTCTCCATCCCCCATTCGCTGCTGCTGGCTCCGCCTCCGCTACTTGGCAGCTACTAGCATTATCTGTGGCTGCTCTTGCCTGGGAGTCATGGCTCTTGTGTTTGCCATCAAGGTGAGGAATGCAGTTCCTATGGGAGCAGGAGGTTGGGTGTAGTAAGGCAATGACTTCATATCTGATCTGTCTACATTGATCAAACGGTTACTAAGTGCCTATCAGAGCTTAGTGTTGGACCTTGTGCCTGAAGTAAGAAGAAGACATGGTTCCTGCCATCAAAGGCCCCACAGTCTAATGAGAGATGGTTGTGAAAATGGATAATTATTAATGGGATGTAGCTCATCAGTACTATGGTAGAGGAAGCACAAGGTATTCTGGGAGCTGGGGGAGGATATATAGGGTGGGTTAAAAGTAGGTTGACAGTTGTAAGTATCCAAAAGAATTTATTTTGTATTATTCACTGTATTATTTTCCATACAAACAACTGTAAACCTGTTCTTGCTCCACCCTTTATGTGTGTGATTACATGTGTCTGTAGAGTAAAGTAGGTGGCAGGAATAACCTTCAAGGATGAGTGAATTAGGATGAAAGGCATTCCAGGTAAAGGAAGCAGTATATATGAAGGCCTGGACTATTAGTTCAGCCTAAATGGACCAGTGAGAAATAGAGATGAAGCCAGAGGGCCCAGATTTCCAAGAGCTTCATCTTGAAAGTACTGGGGAACCACTCGGGTTTTTGCAGAGGAGAGTGACACGGTCAGATTTGTGTTTCAGTAAGAGCCACTCTCGAGTTATACATGGAGAATCAATTAAAAAACTGGAGGCAGCTGAGCAGTCATGAGAGCAATGTGCAGGAGCCTGGAGAAGCTATAAGGGTTTTGAGAGGGTTTCATCATTTCAAAATACTTAACAGAAACTGCACATTTACCTTTTGAAAGGTCACACAGGCTGACTTAAACACCATGCTTGAATTTGTATTTTAACCATCAGAAAAATATTCCTGCCCTAACTGGTTTGGCTCAGTGGATAGAGTGTCGGCCTGCAGACTGAAAGATCACAGGTTCGATTCCAGTCAAGGGCATGTACCTTGGTTCAGGCACATCCCCAGTGGGAGGTGTGCAGGAGGCAGCTGATCGATGTTTCTCTCTCATCAATGTTTCTAATTCTATCCCTCTCCCTCTCTGTAAAAAATCAATAAAATATCTTTTTAAAAACTGAAAAGAAAAACCTGTATTCCTGTCATCATAAAAATTTTTGGGTTTCATTAAGGTAGTCATAAAAAGAATCCTTAAGGAAAGATGAGGCCCATTGACTAATGAGAATGGGGTGGTATGTGACTGGACATGAGTGAAAAATACAAAAATACTCCCAAGATAGCTCACTTTTTTAAAAAGTATTTTTTTATTTTTATTGATTTCAGAGAGGAAGGAAGAGGGAAAAATAGAAACATCAATTGGCTGCCTCCTGCACACCCCCACTGGGGGATCAAGCCTGCAATCTGGGCATGTGCCCTTAACTGGAATCAAACCCAGGAACCTTTAGTCTGCAGGGTGACACTCTATCCACTGAGCCAAACCAGTTAGGCCTAGCTCACTATTTCTTGCCAAGAATTCCAAATTTCTACAGAAAAGTATTTTACCATATATTATCTTGTGCGTTAATGGCCACTCTGAGAACTAGGCAGAGCATAATGGGTAACTTATTTTGCAGATGAGGCATGAGAAGTAGAAACTAGAAAGGAAGGTAGGGGATTTGGATGTGAGGTTTGAACCATGACGAGGATGGAGGATTGTAGTGGGTCAGTGGGCATTTTGGGACAGAAGCAAGGGGAGAACCTAACCAAACACCTGCCCCCACAGGCGGAAGAGCGGCATAAGGCAGGCCACTTCGAGGAAGCAGTGCACTGGGGGGCCCGGGCCCGGAGGTGCATCCTGACCAGCTTTGCTATCTGGCTTGCTGTCCTCGTTCTGGGCCCCCTGCTTCTATGGCTGCTCTCTTACATCATCGCCCAAGCTGAGTGATTGAGGGTGGGCTCTACTGAGAGTCAGCCGAAACCTCTTGAATCCTGCAATGCGGCATTGCTAGGGTCGAATGCCAGCAGTGGTCCTTCCTGGCTGGAAAATGGCGCCTCTCTCAAAGGGCTTTGGAAGAGCTCTAGCCCTTTCTAAAAGGAAACTGCAAACAGACTGACAAGGGGAGGGCAGCCTGCTCTGTTCTTTCAGTGTTCATCATTCCCTGTTCGCCCCCAACCTACCCCATTCTAGGGGCCTCTACCCAGTGGTGGGGTTGAAGACCAGGCCTGATTTTATTAGAATTTGTTTTATAATAAAAGCCTTTTTTAGTGGTGAAATGCTGTTCCTGTCTACTGTTCTTCCCCTGCTTTTCCCTGGGACCTTGGTAAGAGCCTGGGTGGGCATCTGACCGATGGCAGAAGTCTCCATCTCCCCGTGCCTAGTTGCTCCATGAGAACAAAAGATTTCCTTTTCTTTTTCTGGAAGCTCTTCTTGGAAAGTCCCCAGCTTCTTCCTTATATGTGAAGAGAGACCCAGAGGCTAGAGAGCAAGAGTAATAGCATCAGCTACTATTTATTGAATGTTTGATATATTCCAAGCTGTGTTCTAGACGCTTTGTATTTCTTAATTTCTTTTGTTCTCATAGTCACTCAATACCTAGGTACCATTATTCTGGCTTTATAGTTGAGGAAACAGGCACAGATTATAAGGGCACACAGCTAGTAAATGGCAGAGCTGGGAATGAACTCAGACACTTTGGTTATGGAGTTGAGAGGAGAGAGTATTGAATACAGCAACTATCCCTTATATAGAGAGATTTCTATGATTGTATTGAATTTGCATAGCCTTTATCATGGGCTTATTGATAATATTTTACTTATTGACTTCGGAGAGGGGGAGAGAGAAACGTGAAAATCATTGATTTGCTGCCTCCTACACACCTGGGCATGTGCCCTTAACCAGAATCAAATCCATGACTCCACTCGATCCACTGAGCCAAACTGGCTAGGGCTGATAATATTTTTAACATTTTTAATATGAGATATATCACACATACAGGAAAATATCAAAACAAATACAGAGCTCAATAAGTTAAAGCAAACATCTGAAAAACTACCACTAAGTCAAGAAATGAACATTGCCAGCACTCCAGAACCTCTTCTATATCCTTTATTATCACTACTGCTTCCTTTCTTCCCACAGGTAACTATTATTCTGACTTCAAACAATGTAGTTTTGTTTTGCCTACATTTGAACATTATATAAATGGACTCATGTATTTTTTACCCTCACCCAAGACTATGTTCATTGATTTTAGGGAGGGAAGAAGGGAGGGAGGAGGAGGAGGAGGGGGGAGGGAGAGAGAGAGAGAGAGAGAGCGCGCACGAGCGAGCACGAGAGAGAAACATCAGTGAGAGAGAAACATGGACAGTTGTCTCCTGCACATACCCCAAACAGATCATGTCTGCAACCTAAGTATATGCCCTAGCTGGGAATCAAACCCATGACCTTTCCTTGCACAAGATGACACTCCAACCAAAGGAGCCACCTGGCCAGGGCTCTTATGGATTCTTTTTATGCCTGGCTTTTTAATGTTTATGAGAGTTACCAATCTTTGGTATAGCTATAATTTTCATTACTGTATAGTATTCAATTGCATAAATATATTACATTTTATACATTTTATATTGGTAGATATAGATTTGGGGGATGTTTCCAGTTTTGGGATATTATGAATCATTCTGCTGTGGAGATATATATATATATATATATATATATATATATATATATATATATATATATATAATTGATTTCTGAGAGGAAGAAAAGGGAAAGATAGAAACATCAGTGATGAGAGAGAAGCAGTATATAGCAGTATAATGTTTAAGTTGATAATTTTGTATGGTCCCTGAGTGAAGTTATAAATATCTAAATGGCCTTGGTAGAAAAAAGGTTTCCCACCCTGAATAGGTAAATAGACAATTTCTAGCACCTCAGAAGCCTCCCCCATGGCCCTCTCAGTCTTATTATTTTTGTCCCTGATTTTGGCCAGTGTGAACACCTTCAACCTGGTTCTGTGCCCTTCTGATATGTCCCCAACTTTTTTCACTTTTCTGGCACAAATTATTGTAATTCATCATGCACTGTTTCTGCTCCAGCCTGGGAATTGGCCATTTCTTCAAATGAGTTTTGGTTCCTTCTATTGGGGACTGTTACCTTGAAATCTAGACACTATCTGTGCTCATTCTACTGGGATGTTACTGTGTTTTGGCCCTTTCAGAGGTTCATGCTAGAAATAACCTAATTTTATTTTTACTTTTTAAAATATATTTTTATTGATTTTTTACAGAGAGGAAGAGAAAGGGACAGAGAGTTAGAAACATCCATGAGAGAGAAACACCGATCAGCCGCCTCCTATACACCCCCACCAGGGATGTGCCTGCAACCAAGGTACTTGCCCTTGACTGGAATCAAACCTGGGACCCTTCAGTCTGCAGGCTGCCGTTCTATCCACTGAGCCAAACCGGTTTCAGCCCTAATTTTATTTTATTTTTTTAAAATATATTTTATTGATTTTACACAGAGAGGAATTGAGAGGGACAGAGTTAGAAACGTCGATGAGAGAGAAACATCGACCAGCTGTCTCTTGCACACACCCCACTGGGGATGTGCCCGCAACCAAGGTACATGCCCTTGACCGGAATGGAACCCGGGAGCCTTTAGTCCACAGGCCGACGCTCTATCCACTGAGCCAAACCGGTCCCGGCCCTAATTTTATTTTTTAAAAATCACATCTGATTTAATCATATGGTTCTCTCCTTTCCCCATTCTATTTTTTAAAATAATTTCATTGCACTTTAGAGAGCAGAAGGGAGAGGGAGAGAGAAACATCAATGGGAGAGGGGAATATGAATCAGCTGCCTCCTGTATACTTTCCCCTACCCCCTGGGGATGGAGCCTGAAACCTGGGCTGATGCCCTGACCAGGATGGGACCAGCAACCTCTCTATGCATGGGACGGAGTCACACTGGTCAGGGTTGTTATTTCTCTATTCTAAATTCCTTACTCCCACAGTAAAACCTTTGGCTACCTAATGTTTATTCACTTGCTCAATTTTAGAATAATTATCCCAATATAGTACTAAATAACAAGCCTACTAAGTAAAGTTAAATATTTCTTCACAATTATTTTGTCTTTATTTTTTTTCCTCCAAATTTTTTAAATTATCTGTGTACATATCTCACCCCTCCCCCCTTATTTTGTCTTTATTTTTGAGACATTTATTAAAGCTGGGGGCTGTGAAACAAGGAAAGACTTCGGGTACAAAAGGCAGCAGGAGAGAGACAGGCAGGACTGCTTTGGCTCTAGAAACATCATGGAAGAAGTGAGCCAACACGGGGCTGCTGTCAGCTCAGCGGAAAGTCAGAGAAAAGGGCCTTGGAGACAGGTTCAGGGGTTAGCCAGGGAGAAGCTGCTGTTGCCCACTGCTCCCCTGGTTGCAAGTCTCATGAGAACTCTTAAGAGTTTAGGAGATGCATGCCTGTGGGTGAAGAAGTGTAGGGGAGAGAAGGATGCTGGGAAGGACAGGGCACCTGTTTTATCTATTTTAAAATACATATTTCTATTGATTTGGAGGAGAGAGGAAGGAGAGAGAAACATAAATGATGAGAAAGAATCATTGATTTGGCTGCTTCCTGCACAACCCCCACTAGGGATCTAGCAGCAGCCCAGGCATGTGCGCCCCCCTCCCCCCGCCCGCCCCCAGGAATCCAACCCTGACTTCCTGGCTCATACACCAGGGCTATTTCGTCTTTCAGACTGATGATATAGTCAAAAAGTTACTTGGACTCATTACGTGGTTGTGATCCCAAAGTGACATTTCTAAGATAGTTGTTAGCAGGTTATATTAACTTATTCTGTGCCCCCTTCATGGGGAATAGAACTTCCACAGGGTAGGGACTATTATTATTGCTGTTAGTCTAGCACTGTTATTTTTCAACCAGTGGCCACAAAAATTTTTAAACATGCAATATCTATTTAGTCAGGGACACCTATCTCTCTTCCCTTAGAGTGTCAAATTAAAATATGACAACAGCCAACACTACAATAGACCGCTGGTATGAATGAATCAAAATTATACTTTTTTTTTTTTTTTTTTTTTTTTTTTTTTTTTTTTTTTTTTTACCAAATCGGCAAAAATTATAACCTATTTTTTGGTGTGCCCCAGAACTTTAGTAGTTTATGTGTGCCATGAGATGAAAAGGTTGAATATTCACTGAATGAGTAAGTGAATGCCAGGGGTGAGGTGTATGCACAGAAGGCTTATGAATGAAGGAGGAAGTGGCTCCTGGCAGAATCTCATAACCTGGTAGCCTTAAAACTGTGTAATACTCCCCAGCTTTGGGGAGGGGTGGTGGAAGCAGGACCCCCAGCTGGGGAGTACCAGGGCTTTAGAAGTATTCAAGAGTCCGAGCAGACACAGGACGAGGCAGCCTCTTCAGGCTGACAGACCGTGGCCTGTGCCCGTCCGCAAGGCGGCCGCGCTGGACAGTTTTCCCGGCTGGAGTCTGCCCCAAAGCAGGGCCATTCGCTGGGGGAGCCGAGTCCCGACCAGGATGCCGGGAGGAGCCTGCGCGGGCCGTGCCCACGTCCAGAGTCGACGCGCAGCGAGTCGTGCAGCGCAGCCACCCCGAGGTCCCGCTGCCCGGTAAACCCGGCTCCGCGGCCGCGTTCCGGCCTCCACCCACCCCGCCAGCAAGGCCCGCCCTCCGCCGCAGGTGCTGGCTGGCTGATTGGCTCCGTTCGAAGCCCCGGCGCCGCAGCCGGGAGCGCCGAGCGCCGGGCCGCCGCAGCCGGGTCCCGGCTCCCCATTAGACGGCCGGCTTCCAATCGCTGGGCCTTTTGAAGCCCGGTCCTCAGGAGGCGCCGCCATTGGCGGGCGGGGCGGGGCGGGGCCGGAGGTCGCTACCGGCACGCCCGGGCAAGGTAAGGGACCGGCGGCGGCCGGCGCAGGCCCGGCGGCAGAGCGTCCGCTGGCCCCGGCCCCTCTCCTCGCCTCGCCTCCCGGTGAGCCCGCGCGAGACCCGCGCCCGCAGCCGGCCAGTGCGCCTGCGCGGCAACAGCCGCCGCCCGCGTCCCCTTCCCCCTCCTCCCAGCCCCCGCCCCCTCCCTGCCGGCCTTCCCGCCCCTCAGGCCCTTGGGCTGGGCCTCCCCAGTCCTGCTCCTTCCCCAACCCCGTCCCACTCCCCAGGATCCTGGCGCCCCAGCCGCAAGGACTGTGCCTCCGCGCGCCGCGATGTCCCTCCTCTCAGAGCCTGTGGGCCTCCCTGTCCTCCGTCTCCTCCTCACAGGCCCCCACCTCCGTCGGAATGACGCTGGACGTGGGACCCGAGGACGAGCTGCCCGACTGGGCCGCGGCCAAGGAGTTTTACCAGAAGTACGACCCTAAGGACGTCATCGGCAGGTGAGGCCCGGCGGGACGCGAGGTCCGGAGGGGGCGCTCCGGCCGGGACAGCCGTCTGAGGGCTGGGGAGCTCCACATGGGGGGTCAGTGCCTAGTTTGGTGACCAGACTTATCCTGGGTCAGCCCCCATTTCCCCCACAAACTCATTTGTGTGTTCAAACAGTTGAATTGCCTACTGTGTGCCAGGCTCAAAGCTAAACAGAAAGGAAAGAAGAGGCGCTTGTGCCCTGGAGTTAGTCCAGGTGAAGTGACCGGAAGAGACACGGGGACATTCAACAAGTGGGGACTGTGTAGAAAGTGCTGTGGTTCCCTGAGACCCAGAGAGGCGATGTTTGGGTTTCGGAGGATGAGGAGGAGGAAGTTCAGCTGCAGAGAACAGAAGGCAGGCCTCCGCTGTAGGGGCAATGGCAGATAGTTACAAAGGTTTCTCAGCTTGTACAATGTGCTAGGTGCACGGTGCTAGGCACTGGGGATGGGGATACCAGACCCACAAGGTTTCTGTTTTGGGAACTATGGTTGTAGAGACAGACATTAAACACACACACACACACACACACACACAAAAAAAAACAAAAACAAAAAAAAACAAGACAAAGATCATCGTGCTATGGAGACTATAGAGTGATGGAACGAGAGTCATGAATGGAGCTGAGACTTGGAAGATGAGAATGAACAGGGTAAGATATATTCCAGGCTGAGGGAATAATGAATACAAAGGCTCACACTAGGAAAGGGCCTTGTCAACCAATAGATAGAAGAGCATAGTGGCTAGAAGTAGACAAAGTAGGAAATTAAATTGGAGAGGTTAGGTTATGTCAGGTCTTAGGCCATGATAAGGAATTTAAGTTTTAGTGAAACTGGTTATTTCAAAAAGGAAGTAATAGGAACTAATTTGCATTTCTGTGATTTGGGAGCTAAGAACTTACCCTTTCTATGCCTCAATTGTGTGTGTGTGTGTGTTTAATAGATTTTTCTTGATTTCAGAGAGGAAGGGAGAGGGAGAGAGATATATAAACGTCAATGATGAGAGAGAATCATTGATTGGCTGTTTCCTGCACACCCCACAGGGGATTGAGCCTGAAACCCAGCCATGTGTCCTGACCAGAAATTGAACCATGATTTCTTGGTTCATAGGTCAATGCTCAACCACTGAGCCATGCCAGCTCTCAGTTTCTTCATTGTAAATTGGGAATAAAAATAAATCCTACTTTGTAGGTTGCTGTGAGGATGAAAAGAGTTAATATGATACTCTTAGAACACTTTCAGGCACTTGGTAAGTGCTCAACACAGATATAAAGATCATTCTGGCTCTTATGTAGAGAGTGGAGGAGGAGGGGGCAGGAATAGAAGCACAGAGACCAGTCATGAAGCTATTGATTCATTTAGGCTAGTGATGGTGGTGGGTTAAGACTGGAGTGGGAGTGATAGACATGAAAAGAAGCGGATAGTTTTAGGTGTTGACTTGATACAGTTTCCTGAAGGATTGGATATGACCATGAGGGAAAAATAGAAGAAGATAGAAGAAAAATAGAAGAATAACCTTTAAGGTTTTGATTTGAGCACTTGAGTACCATTTATTGAAACAGAGAAGACAGGAGGATCAGATTATGGGCACAGGTGAGCAAGTCAAGAATTTCATTTTTTTGCCCGAGCAGGTTTGGCTCAGTGAATAGAGCATCAGCCTGTGGACTGAAGAGTCCCAGGTTCGATTCTGGCTAAGGGCACATGCCCAAGTTGTGGGCTCGATCTCCGTAGGGAAGGTGCAGGAAGCAGCTGATCAATGATTCTCTCTTTTCATTGATGTTTCTCTCTCTCCCTCTTCCTTCCTCTCTGAAATCAATCAAAAATATATTTTTAAAAAGAATACCATTTTGGAAATGTTAACTTTGAGATAAATAACTGGAGCTGTCAAGTGGGTCTTTGAGTCTGGAACTAAAGGGAGAGGGCTGGGCTAAAGCTATAAACTTGGGAGGCATCAGCGTATAGATAGTAGTTGGCCAGAGAATATAGACAGAGAAGTGAAAGTGGCCTGGGCTCAGGCCCTGGGATGTATCTTGGATTAGAGAAGGAGGAGCCAGTAAGGGAGAGCAAGGAAGATGTCGGCTGTGAGTTACAATGTGAGTTACAAAGAACAGGAAGAATGTGCTTCTGCAAGGTTGGCATGGTCTGCTGTGATAAGTGCTGCTGAGGCCCGCTCAGTGGTTGAGGTGTGGCTCAGTGGTTGAGGATCGATCTATGAACCAGGAGGTCACAGTTTGATTCCTAGTCAGGGTACATGCCCGAGTTTCGGGTTCAATCCCCAGTGGGGCATGTGCAGGAGGCAGCTGATCAGTAATTCTCTCTCATCATTGATGTTTCTATCTTTCTCTTCCTCTCCCTTCCTCTCTGAAATATATAATTTTAAAAAGAATCTGGAATTCTGGAAAGAAATAATGACGGTCAAGACAGTGTAACAGGAATCATTCACACATTGTTGGTTTTAAAAGCCCCTGGGACTGGATGGAGGTCAGCAGGGGAGAGTATTGGGAAGAGAAGAGAGCTGAGACCCACGTCCTGAGTAGTGGGTTTCAGGACCAGGTAGGGGAGGATGCACAGAGGCTAGGAAGAACCCTCCAGGAAGAACGGTGGTTCCACTGCCAGGGGGCCCAGAAAGGCCAGTTTTGGAAAAGGTGGATCAGGGGGTAGTGTCATTATTATCTCCTTCCACAGTTACTGTGGTAGACGATCCCTTGTCTCCTATTTCCCTCTTGTTTTCCTGCACACTCGCTAAATTACTTTCCTCAGAGTTCCAGTTTCTTCATGTATAAAGGCCTGAAGCTTTAAGATAATTGTACTAGGCTTCAAACTCAGATGCATTTAGTGGTTGAGCACAGAATAAAACTGAAGTGGCTAAGAGTAAGACAGTAGGAGGTGACAAGTATTGTGGCAGCTGGAGGATTCTTGTCCCATCTAAGATATATGAATTCAGATTTGGAAAGAATATTGGACTGACCAAAACGTAATTCATATGTGGACTATTTAGCCAGAGGGTTAATCGTTTGCATCATTTGATCGAACCAGAGATGTGAATGACAGGCATTCCAGGCAAAGAGAGTATTGTAAGGTCCAGGAGGCGGTGAGAGCACAGCAGGAGGTTATGTGGACAGCAGCCAGGGAACCAGCGTATGAGATGTGGTGTGATCCTGAGAAGATTTGCACCTTAGCCTGAAGTACTTGTAGGGTTATAGAGAGTTGGTGACGGAGCCCAAGCGAGGAAATCTCTGTCTAGGACTTTGTCTTTACAATGCCAGAAGGGCTTTCCTGTCTCTGCCTCAGTAATGTCTTCCAGCTTCCTGTCAGGTTATTTTTGGCTACATTTCAGAGCTGGAGAAGCGGAAGCCCAGAGACCTTGTTAGTGGGTTCCTGAGAGATTAATTAGTGGCAAATGTGGGGCTTAAACCTATATCTTTAATTCGCAACTTTGGTCTTCTAGTCAATTGCCCAATATTTACTTAGCGCCTCCTATACTTGAGCTAATGTAGGGGAACGTTGGGGTTTGGATGTGGTAATAGGAAGTGTGAGTAAAATGTGGAGGAAGTCTTAGGTAATTTCTTCTCACTTCCTCCTTGTGAGGTTTCAGGGTAAGGGGCAGGTTCTGGGGCTCAGTGTAGAAGGGACTTGTCTAGGTTCACCCACTGAGTGCATGGCAGAGGCTGGGTTAGAAACCAGGACCGGGCCTGCCTTCCCTGCCTTCCCTGGTACCTTCCTGGGCACCTGCGTTGCTGCTGAGGCCACAGTGAGTCTGTTGTAGGTCAGGACGAGCTTCTTGGGAGGTTGCCTTGTCCAGAGGGTCTCCAGAACCTGGTGCGGTGTGTATGAGGGTGCTGAGGCTCTGCTCTGGTGGAAGTGAGAGAGTAGGCGGCCCTGACTCCTGTGTTGTCTGACTCTGGCAGAGGAGTGAGCTCTGTGGTCCGCCGTTGTGTTCATCGAGCTACTGGCCATGAGTTTGCAGTGAAAATCATGGAGGTGACAGCTGAGCGACTGAGTCCTGAGCAGTTGGAGGAGGTGCGAGAAGCCACGCGGCGAGAGACACACATCCTTCGCCAGGTCGCTGGCCACCCCCATATCAGTGAGGCTGCGTCCCCTGCTCCTGTTAGATGACACCACCTCCTGCTGGTCTGCCCAGAGCCCACTCCCCCACACTGCCTCCGCCCCCTGCTCCCTCCCTCCTGGCTCCGTTCCACCTCAAAGTGTGGCCAGCCTTTGGGTCCCTACTGCCTCCTTTGATTTTCCTTCCCAGCCACAGCCCACTGTTGCCTCAGGGAGGAAAGCCCCTTTAATATGCATGCGCTCCTTTCCATCTCTGGCTCTGCCTTTCTGCCTCTTTCCCCAGTCACTCTCATCGATTCCTACGAGTCTTCTAGCTTCATGTTCCTGGTGTTTGACCTGTGAGTATCTCCCTGCCCAGTCAGAGAAGCCGCCTCACCTCCATGCACAGCCCCAGACTCACAGCACAATGGGCTGAAGACCACTCTCCTCACCCCTTCCTCTGTTCCCGCCGGAGCCGCCTGGCAGTCCATGGCTCTGGCCTCTTTCCTGGTGCCTTGAGGCACGTTCTTTAAGGAGTAATAGTGACCAAAGACAAGGGTCTTCATGACCCAAATCCCCAACTGTCTTAACCTCCCGTGCTTATAAGGGTAGCAGAAGAAAGGATTGATTTGAGAGTGTCGTCTAGGAGCTGACTGCTTATAAAATAGATATTTGCTTACCAGTCTCACATTGTTTGACGCCCTATGCTGGTGTCTATCTCTGCTCATCAATTCTTTTTCTGGTCAGTGTAAATCTGAATGTCACATGCTATACCATATAAGGCAAACCAGTTGCAAAGGTTCTTCAAAAGAGAATGGTTTGGCTGAAACCGGTTTGGCTCAGTGGTAGAGCGTCGGTCTGCAGACTGAAAGGTCCCGGGTTCGATTCCGATCAAGGGCATGTACCTTGGTTGTGGGCACATCCCCGGTAGGGGGTGTGTAAGAGGCAGCTGGTCGATGTTTCTCATCGACGTTTCTAGCTCTCTATCCCCATCTCTTCCTCTCTGTAAAAAATCAATAAAATATATTTTAAAAAAAAAGAGAGAATGGTTTGGATATTAAATATTTAAGAGAGGCCTTTGGAAAATATTTTTAATACAGAAATGACCCTCTGCAAAAGTCTGAGGGGAGGAAGGAAGTGTCCATTTTATTTACCCATTATGCAACTTTGCCCAATAATAATACTCCCCAGACTATACCTGATGTGTTTTTTGTATTTCAATGATGATTCACACAAAGTTACAGTTATAACCTCACTCTTTAAAGAGAAGACAAAATAAGGAAAAATCAAAGCCCTTTATAACTTTTTTCCCTACTATTAATTGAAATTTTGGTCGGTGCTATAAATAGATAACTTTAAAAAGCCTTTTTGAGTATTAGATAAGAAGGACCACCTGAAGATTATTGGCACAAGAAGGCATTCATTCTTGCTAAAATAGCCCCTCAGGCACAATGAAGATATTTGAGCTTCCACCCCACTGGGCCAAATTGCCTCTGGCATTCCTCTCACTTCTGGAGTGCTCTGTCTTGAGACCCTTTAGTTTGTCTACAGAAGAATATCCCTTTCTTTAAAAAAAAAATGTTTTTATTGATAGAGGGAGAGAGAGATTGAAACATCGATGAGAAAGAAACATCATCGATCCGCTGCCTCTTGCACGCTACCCAATGGGGATCAAGCCTGCAATCCTGGCATGTGTTCTGTCTGGGAATTGAACTGACAACCTCTTGGTGCATGGGTTGACACTCAACCACTGAGCAATACCAGCCAGGCCAGAGAAATCTCTCTACTGGCCTGTTCCATAGTATTTTCCTTGAGCACTGGCTTATTTTCTCAGCCCTTACTGTGAGGCGCACCTCCCTTCCTACCACTTCTATCTCCTAGGATGCGGAAGGGGGAGCTGTTTGACTATCTCACAGAGAAAGTGGCCCTCTCCGAAAAGGAAACCAGGTAATGGCTGAGCCTGCAGCCCCTGGGGTGAGCAGGGAGTGGGGTGGGGCAGGGAGAAGCAGAGGAGACTGCCCCTCCCCCAGGTCCATCATGAGATCTCTGCTGGAAGCAGTGAACTTTCTCCATGCCAACAACATTGTGCACCGAGATCTGAAGCCCGAGAATATTCTCCTAGATGACAATATGCAGATCCGACTTTCCGATTTTGGGTTCTCCTGCCACTTGGAACCTGGCGAGAAGCTTCGAGGTGAGGGGACCTGGTGCCCTAAGAGGCTTGAGAGGAAAGGAGACCCAGACAGGAGTCGGCTTGGCTAGATCTGAGAACTGAGTCCCAGCTACCAAGCAAAGGGAAGTCAGTAAACACTTGCCAAGTACCCTCTGGGTGCAGAGCCTTGTTTGCAGCTCAGAGTGGGTTTCCTGACCTGGGGAGGAGGGAGACAGGAAAGTGAGCAGGTAAATGGCACCCAGCAGCGGCTAGGGGCCATGTGGGGGGAGCCAGGAGAAAGGAGCACCTGAGTTAGCTGGATGGATCTACCGAGTTGGTCCTTGGGAGGCGGGGGTTGTCCCAGGAGGAAAAAGGTAGAAGGGATACAGGACTCAGCTGCACACTTGGGGTCTATCAGCATGAGTCTTAGGTGCAATGAGGAACCTGGTACTCAGGTTCACCCAGCGTTAACACATTTGTTGTGACAGAATAATTCTGGTGCAAATGGAAAACTAAACAAAGTTCAACTGCAAGACACCTCAGAGCTGATGCCGGTTTGGCTCAGTGGATAGAGTGTCGGCCTGTGGACTGAAGGGTACCGGGTTCGATTCCGGTCAAGGGCATGTACCTTGGTTGCGGGCACATCTCCAGTGGGGGGTGTGCAAGAGGCAGCTGGTCGATGATTCTCTCATCGATGTTTCTGACTCTGTCCCTCTCTCTTTCTTTCTGTAAAAAATCAATAAAATATATATATTTTTAAAAAGTCCTCAGAGCTTTTTTTTTTTTTAATTTTATTGATTTCAGAGATGAAGGGAGAGGAAGAGAGAGAAGATATGAGAAGAAATCATTGATTGGCTGCCTCCTGCACGGTGGACCAAGCCTGCATTCCATGCATATGCCCCTGACTGGAATTGAACCTGGGACCCTTCGGTCTGCAGACCATCATTCTCTCCATTGAGCCAAACCAACTAGCGCCTTTTTTTTTTGTTCTTTACTCCCTTCATGGCACCCATCTTACTCTATTATTTCTCATTTGCTTTTTAGTAGACATTGTTTCATAAGAGCACATCTAATTTACACTGTGTCCAGTGTAGTGTGCATGGTACATGGTAAGCAAGAAATACGTAGGAATGAATTTCCTGGGAGTCATGTTCAGTTAGGGCTATTAAGCTGTCCTGGAAGTGTGCTGTGGAATACAGTTTGGAAATTTCTGGGATGTTAGAATTGGGGCACAAAGTGGTAGAAACTAGAAATAAGGGCTTGGATCGAGTCATGAGGGCTCTGTGCTGTAAGAACAGACTTGATCTTGAGGCATATTGGGGAGCCAGGGAGGAGTTTTAAACAAGGGACTTACCCAGTATGCACTTGAAGAAATCCCATACTCCCACTCCTTCCCCTTGGTTTGAGTGGTGGTTCCACTAACCAGAGTAGAGATTATAGGAAGAATAGATTTGGGCAGAAAGGAATGCAGAAAAGTTGTTTTTCATGTATGTTATGAAAGTAAAAATGTAACGTGAGGAATGGGTAGGGGTTTGGCCAGAGGGTTGGAGGCAAGTGATAGTTGGATAGGACCTTGATTTCTCCAAAGCCACCAGGAGCCTTGTATTTGAGTTGTTCAGCAGGGCCACGGTCTAGTACTGAGACTCGGCCGTCTGGCAGGAGCAGAACGGGAACACTTGTTGAGGCTCCAATAGAGGGTTGGTGTTAAGGGCCATGAGGGGGCTGGTGGCATCCCACCAATCTCTCTCCCCAGAGTTGTGTGGGACTCCGGGATACCTAGCACCTGAGATCCTTAAATGCTCCATGGATGAAACCCACCCGGGCTACGGCAAGGAGGTCGACCTGTGAGTTTCTGGTACCCCGTGCTCTCCCGGTGTACATTTGCCCAGCACCCGCTCCTGCCTGACTTTGGTCTTTTTCCCAGCTGGGCCTGTGGCGTAATCTTGTTCACACTCCTGGCTGGCTCACCACCATTCTGGCACCGGCGTCAGATCCTGATGTTACACATGATCATGGAAGGCCAGTACCAGTTTAACTCACCCGAATGGGATGACCGTTCAAACACTGTTAAAGACCTGGTGAGCTAGGACCATGAGGGTGCAAGGCGGGAGGCCCAAGAGCTAGCCCTCATGTTGTGGGGTTCCCTTAGATTTCAAGGCTGCTGCAAGTGGATCCTGAAGAGCGTCTGACAGCTAAGCAAGCTCTACTGCACCCCTTCTTTGAGCGTTGTGAAGGCGGCCAACCCTGGAACCTCACCCCCCGACAGCGGTTCCGGGTAAGCCCTAGGGTCAGGTTTGGCCTGTCTCTGTCCCCTGTGGCAGTGCTACACTGGAGCTCACTCCCCTCCCTTCCCAGGTGGCAGTGTGGACAGTGTTGGCTGCTGGACGAGTGGCCTTAAGCATCCACCATGCACGGCCGCTGACCAAGAGTGCACTGTTGAGGGACCCATATGCTCTGCGGCCAGTGCGGCGCCTCATCGACAGCTGTGCCTTCCGGCTCTACGGGCACTGGGTGAAGAAGGGCGAGCAGCAGAACCGCGCGGCCCTCTTCCAGCACCGGCCGCCTGGGCCTTTCCCCATGACGGGCCCCGAGGAGGAGGGGGACTCGGCCTCTGTCACCGAGGAGGAGGCCATGCTGGTGCTGGGCTAGCACCTGAGCCTGGGGGGATCCCAGAAAGCAGGACTTTCCATGAGGATTTTTATCATTCCAGCCCCTCTTGGCTCTGGCCTTAGGCCCTGAGCCCCACTGCTTGGCCAGGCCACTGCTCATCTACATCATAAAGTCCAGTCTATCCCCACTGGCCAGGGCTTTCAGATCAGAGCGGAGGTAGAAGGAACCACTCAAGAGTGCCATGCCTGGCCTTGTCAGTGCTACCTGTGCTGTCTATTCAATAAAGTCTACACACCAGGGAGCCAATGCCCTATGTCTGGTGTCTGGCTTTGGCAGGAAAGCTCAGAAGTTGCTCAGAATGGGAGTGGGGGCGCGGAGGGGGCCACTCTGGCCTTTATTGGGGAAAACACGGGGGGGGTCACTTGAACTTGTTCTTGCTTTTGCCTGGAGGCAGTTGGAAGGGCCGCTCCAGTGTGGTCAGCTTGCTGTTGAGCCTTTCCTCACTGGCCTTGAGCCGCTCCTCCACCAGCTGCTGCAGCAGCTCCAGCTCCTTGTTCAGCTGGGTCTTGATGTAGGCTCGGAGGAGGGAGACGTGGCCTGCGGGGCAGGGAAGGAGAGAGGCTGCTTGGGGCTGAAAGATTGCCCCTCGCTGGGCAGACAAGTTCCAAATTGTCCCTAGGGACTACATAGGTGGTCATGTTGCTTCAATTCAGGAAATGCCAGCCAGCCCTTCTGTGAGAGAGAAGTGGGCAGAATGGCTATTTCCAGCCAGACTTTCTGGATTGCTGCCTAATAGTTTTGTGAACTTAGGCAGGTGAGTTCACCTTCCTATGCCCTAGGTTTCCTCCCATGTAAAATGGGGATATTGATAGCACCTAGCATCTGGGATTGAGAGAGAATTAAATGGGTTAATGCACATAAAATGTTTAAAGCAGGACTTGCCTGGCCCTGGCTGGTTTGACTCAATGGAAAAGTGTGTGGACCGAAGGGTCCGGGTTCGATTCTGGTCATGGGCATATACCTCGGTTGTGGGCTCCTCCCAGGCCCACGCCCTGGTCAGGGCACATGCAGGAAGCAACCAGTTTCTCTTACATCCATGTTTCTCCCTGTCTTTCCCTCTCTCTAAAATCAATAGGAAAAATGTCTCGGGTGAGGATTTTTAAAATATAATAAAAAATAAAATGAAATAGGGCTTGCCTGGCACAAAGTATTATCAGTTATGTGCTGGCTATCGCCATCGGTTTTTCTGGAGCTCCTAGCTGCTGTGTCTTTACCTGTCATCTTGGACTTATGCATGCTGAACCCTTTGGAGAAAGGACCAGGACTAAAAAAGTCTGAAGTCCCGATGTGGTCTAAACCCTTCATTTCACATTTGCCCCAAGTCATAGAGAACCCAAACTCCTCCAGGTCCTCACTTGGCTCTTGCTGTGACTCAGCCACCGTTTCTGATTCCATCTCCTGTAGGGTGACTGCCTGCTTCTCCACCTCCTCGCCACCTTCTTTCTCTGCAAGCCAGAAGCAGGAAGAGCCTTCAGCCCTGGCCCCGGCCCCGGCCTCGGCCCTGGCATTCTCCCTTACCTGTCTCATCCTCTGGCCAGGGCTTGGGTGGCTGCAGCCCTAAATAAGTCAAAGACAGATCTAGCCGCACCTGGGGAGACAAAGGCAGCTGAGAGGACGGCATCTGCACCAGGGGAAGGGAGCGGAGGGGCGGTCCCGGGCCCAGTACCTCGGGAGTAAAGACGTATTTGTAGAGCTTGAAGTGGCGAAAGTAGGTGTTGACCACATAATCAGCCAGGGCCAACAGCTGTTCCTCCTTAAAAAGGTTGATACTGAAAGGGGGCCGCTGTGGGGGTGACTGGGAGTTAGAGGACTGACCACTTTCTGAAGCTCTGGCCTTTTCTCCTAGTGCCCAGCTGTCCAGGAGCAGGGAGAGCCCACTGTGGCCTTCAGAGCAAGATGAGGGTGATGAGTGTGAGAACAGGCGATGGGGCTAGGCCTTTTCTGGGGAGGAGCGGAGATCCCATCAGGGGAACTGACCCTGACTCCATGGCAAAAAAGAACACTGGAGAAGTAGCGGTAACATTCCTCCACATTGCCCAAGGGGGTTGCTGGGAGGGAAAACAAGATACTCCAGTGAGTCACCTCTGCGATAATCATTTTACTCAAGAGCTACGCTACTCAATGAGCATGAGCTTTAGAAGCGGACAGATCTAGGTTTAAGTACTGGATTGTTTCATTAACCCACTCAAATACTGAGTCCTACTGTGACTGGGCACTGAACAAGACAGGTAAAGTCTTGCCCTTAAGAGGCAGACATGTCAGTGGAAGGGACATACAATAAACCAAGAAATGCATCATTTTAGCTCTTGCTAAACATCCTGAGAAAAACCAGTTCTGGGAATAGAAGGGAGAAAGCAGCTATTTTACTGAGCACTGTGCATACATATATTTCACATACAGGGTGTCCAAAAATATATACACACTTTGTACATTTACTAATTCCAATGTCTTTTTTCAGATTTAACCCATTGGAATTAATAATTATTCAGTGTGTATACATTTTTGCCCCTCCCCCGTACCAGAACAGTCAGTATTCTTAAAGGTAAGGAAATGAAGATTTCATAGGTGAAATAACTGTGGTAACACTGCTACTAATGACAACAGATGCCAGGTGGTGATATTTCTATTTCCCATGGTTACTGTGCCATCCAGCCTCCTCCTCTTCCCTGGGCTCAAACCTGGTCAGCGCCTCCTCTTACCAACACAGGCCTTGTGAAGATCTTGGAGCAGGGCACAAGCCGTTGATGTCTGCTCCATTGAGAAGCCCTGCTGGCGGCAGAAGATGAGTGCATGGGAGAAGAGATCTAGGGTAATGGCATCACGCTGGCTCTGCTCAGGCCATCCTAGCCCCAACAGGTCGGCCAGCACCCTTGAGAGGGAGAAAGAATGGGGTGAGAGACAATGGAAGGCTCCCTTCACTACCCCACACAAGTGTACAACGTGCTTTGGAGCCAAGCATTTCTCATGCCTTCCCAGTACACCCCTCCGCCTTTCTCTTGCTTCTCCCCCACCATACTCCCTCATCTCCTCAGCGTTGGCCGTCTTCTCCAGCCTGTGCATGGAATGGATGTCCAGGTACTTCCTGCCATAGGAAAAGAGGAGGAATGGTGTTGGTGGCCGTTATACATTAGTCTCACGGCAGGACGAGAGCACGAGGCTGGGAACCAGGAAACCCGAGTTTGAAATTTGGCCTTTCCACTAACTTGCCGTGTGACCTTAAGCAAGCCACCTCCCTCTCTGGGCCTCATGTTTTCCATTTGTAAATAACTGATGTGATCTAAATGAACTGTGTGTGTGTGTGTGTGTGTGTGTGTGTGTGTGTGTGTGTGAATCCTCAGGATATTTTTTACCTTGACTTTTAGAGTGGGAGAGGGAGAGGTAGTGGAAGAAAGAGAAACAAACATTGATATGAGAGACACCTATCAGTTGGTTGCCTCCCACTTGTGCCCTGACTGGGACAGGGATGGAACCTGCAACCCAGGTACATGCCCTTGACCAGGAATGGAACCTGCAAGGTTTTAGTGCATGCCTAACCATTGAACACACTGGCCATGACCTAAATGAATTCTTTTGATTATTTTCATTATAAAGCTTAATGTTAGGAAACTTGAGTTCTTGTTTCTGCTCTGTCACTCCCTTAATTTTGGCAGTACCCCTGTGGGCCTCAGTGCCCATATTTGCACAATGCTCCATGACAGCTTTGATATTCTATTTATATCCTCAGTCTTTGGCTCCCTTCTTCCTACACTTGCTCTCTGGACGATGGAGGCAGGAGAGCCAGCTTCTAGTCATCTTGGGTAAACGCATCTCTGGACCTCAGTCTCCTCATCTGTAAAATGGGGATGTCCTTTTTTTCTGCCCTGGCTGTTTGACAGGGCTCTTGGGGAAGCAAGGGAATCAGGTAAGAGTGAGATGTAACTTTCCCCAAGGCTCTTTACACTCACCACATGCAGATCCGGGGCTGGGGCAGAGGAGGCTGCGGAGAGAAAGTAAATTGGACCAAAATCCTTGTCCCTGGTCCCTGGCAAATCTCCAGGGGACCTGAGAACTCGTTAACTTGCTTTCTCAGCTCAGGGACTATGAAGGAACAACGCGGGCGGGCGGGCGGGGCTTCAGCAGGCCCCAAGAACTATTAATGAACATATGAACAATCCATTCGCCTCTTCACCAAGGCAGCCAGGAGACGCCTTAAAGTTAGTAAACTTAACGACGGGTGGCGCCCTGGCCGGAGCCCTTTTATAACATTCACGAGCGGACTACTTGTCCTTACCGGGAACAAATTGGCTGTAGAATCTTCATCTTCCACCGAGGTAATGGTACAGCGCTCGGACCACACACCTAATCCCACACGCGAAGTTAGATCATCCACTGAGCTGCGGTCCTTCTTGTTTTCCCGCCGCAGTTGGGAGGATTGTTCAAGTTCCGACGGCGTTCTCAGGCTCTGGAATTGGCTGGACTTCCGACGGATCATCCCGTCGCCCCTCCTAGTCCCGGTCGCCGCAGGCTCTACCCGGCCTCGGTTCGGAGACGGCGGGTCCTCCTCAGGCACTTCCTAGGTCTGACCCTCTCTCCGCGCTTCAGCCAATCGACGCAGCCGAGAAGTCGGCTGCAGCCAATCCGCGGGGGGCGTCGCTACCCGACGGTTGCTAAGGCGGCTGGGGAAAGAACAGGAAGTGTAATGTTCTCGTCAATTAGAAGAGAAAGCGCGTGCGTAATAAATTGCAACGCTCCCCTCGCTGCTCCAAAGTTTCTAATGAAAGGCCGATGACGTCGTAGGCTGGCGTGGGCTGTGGTGTCAGTAACTATAGGGACGTCTACTGGCCAATCACGGAGAAGTTCGGAAGAAACCCGATAGGCGGGACAAAGCGCAACCCATAGAAACAGGAAGTGCAGTTCCACCACATCCGGCATTGCCTCCGGCGCCTGCGCTCCGCGCTGGGGAGGCCGGGCGACGTCTGGCGAAGTCCAAGATGGCGGCGCTGGGCTGATCCCGCTGCAGGTGAGGGCCTGGGCGGCGAGGGCGGGATGCGGCAGGTATGTGCGGGGAAGGGTTGGGGCCGCGGAGCCCCGGTCGCGTCCACATCTGTGTCTCCGTCTTCTGCAGGTGACGGAAGTGCCGCCGCCTCCTGCCTGGCGTTCCTGGGAGACCCTGCACCGCTCCCGCCGCCGCGGCCATGTCTGGGCCCGGCAACAAACGCGCCGCCGGCGACGGGGGCTCGGGGCCCCCCGAGAAGTTGAGCCGCGAAGAGAAGACCACAACCACACTTATAGAACCTATTCGTCTCGGGGGCATCTCTTCTACGGTTCGTTCCAGCCCTCTCAACTTCCCAGACTTCCAACCCTGTTCTCCGCCCAAATCGCCCGGAACCTTATTCTCACATCCCCAAATTTAGCAGGACCCACTTTACAGGGCACAGTTGAAAGAAACGGAGAGCAAGACGTCTGCTCTCCCTTTCCAGATAGGAAAACAGGCTCCTAGAAGGGTTCGGAAGAGACAGAAGCAGACCCTCCTCAACCAAGACACCCTGTGGGTGTCTGCGCCTCTTTAAATCCCGTTGGCAGTTAGTTTGGGAATACTCCTCTTCCCACCCATTCCATTTGCTGTCCTCTGTCTCTCTCTGTGATTGATATCTTGGGTCCTGCTTGACTTTCTTCTTGGTCCTTCTGTTTTTCTTGGTAGGAGGAGATGGACCTGAAGGTTTTGCAGTTCAAGAATAAGAAACTAGCAGAGCGGTTGGAACAGCGACAGGCTTGTGAAGATGAACTTCGAGAACGAATTGAGAAGCTGGAAAAACGGCAGGCCACAGATGATGCCACGCTCCTCATTGTCAATCGCTACTGGGCCCAGGTGGATGCCTCTGCTTTCAAGGACCTGGCCTTCATCCAGTTGCCAATTCTCAGACTCCTCTGCTGGGCAGCAGTGTTGTGATGGAAGCACCTGAGGAATTCATAACATTTTTGGTGCTTTCTCCCTTCAGCTGGATGAAACTGTGGAAACCCTTCTCCGACACCATGAGAACCAGGGGGAGCTGTCTTCAGGGACAGAGGCGCATGGAACCCAGGAGGGGCTGACCCGTGACGAGACCCCTCTCACAGAGCCAGGGGCATCAGAACTGAGGGGTAGGGTCAGAACCTAGGATCTGGGGAGCTTAATTATGTCTGGGAAAGGTTCTGCAGAGGAAGGGACTTTTGATATTAGGCTCCTGGAGTCCCTACCTCCCCTCCCACACATGCACATAAAATTGATTTCATGTTTGGGCAGCATAGTTACAAGCTTTGGAATCTGAGTGACTTGATTCATAGTGCATTTTATATTTTGATATTCGCTCAGTTAAAAGTGTTAATGTTGAGTGTTGATTGTATCTGGCACTGATCTCGACTTGCAGGAGACATAGATAAGCAAAAAGAAATATTACCCCTGCCATCAGAGAGGAAGTGATTGTAAATCATAAAAGTATAGGGGCCCCTGAACGGGAATTAGTCTGTGTGCACGTGTGTGTGGTTCTATTTTATTTTATTGATTGATTTTAGGGAAAGAGAGAACATCATAGACTTGTTTTAATTATGCATTCGTTGGTTGATTCTTGTATGTGCTCTGATTAGGAATTACCCACAGCCTTGATGATCTGACCAAGGAGTGACCCAGCCAGGGCCTGGTGTGGGTTCCAATTTAGTTTGAGAAGGCTTCCCTGCAGAAGTAATTGGGAGCATTGTGGCCTTAGGGATATTACCTCTTGAATCTCTTGTTTTGATTTCAAGATGGGGATGACAATGCACTCTAGGTGTTGGTTGTGTTGCTTCAGTGAGCCCGAGTGTTGAATGGCTCAGTGTGGAACTTGGTTCAGAGTTGTAACTGCTGCTTTTGTCCTCATTAGTGTTTCCATCCCTCCTAGAGACCCTGCCCGTGCAGCTGCGGCCCCCACTCAGTGAGCCAGCCTTGGCCTTTGTGGTGGCACTGGGTGCCAGCAGCAATGAGGAGGTGGAGCTGCAGCTACAGGGCCGAATGGAGTTCTCCAAGGCCGCCGTGTCCCGTGTCGTGGAGGCCTCAGACCACCTGCAGCGCCAGGTGGAGGAACTCTGCCAGCGAGTGTACAGCAGAGGTTAGTGCTTGTGCCCCGCCCAGAGAGGTCCATCCCAGTTTGCATCTTTATGCTACCCCTTTCTCAATGCCGCTGGCCCAGAGGCCGCCAGAATTCCCCAAGGAATACGTCAGGCATGTTCTCACGGAAGGGCTCGGTTGTAGATTTGATTTCTGGAGTTGAACTCTAAAGAGATCAAGAAGAGGAGTTGTTGATTCTAGTGGGGCCAACCTGTTTTGGCGGGATATCTTTTTTGGAGCACTTTGCACAAATCTCAGTGGCAGATGCTGATCCATAAGACAGCAGCAAGTGCCCAGGCTTTGTAGGCAGACAGGCTTCCCCAAGCCTTCGTTCTGTCACTCTAGCCTTGGCATTCTGGGCAAATGGCCCTCCTGAGCTAGGCAGTGAGGGTAAAGACTCCTGGCTTTGTCATGGTGGATCACACTAGGCACATAACAGACCCCTGAAGGAGATAGCACTTTCCCCATTGCCCTGGACTTGACTCTGACCCCAGCCCTGACTTCCCAGGGGATAGTGAGCCCCCTGGTGAGGCGGCTCGGGCACGCACCCGGGAGCTGGGCCGTGAGAACCGGCGACTTCAGGACTTGGCCACCCAGCTGCAGGAGAAGCACCACCGTATCTCATTGGAGGTGGGCGTTGCATTTATGGGGGTGGGATTAGACCCAGGGCAGGGTTTAGGTTAGGTGGACAACCAAGTCTCTTCATTTAAGCATCTGCCCTCTTCATTGTTCTCAGTACTCTGAGCTCCAGGATAAAGTGACATCAGCAGAGACCAAAGTACTAGAGATGGAGACGACAGTAGAGGACCTGCAGTGGGACATTGAGAAGCTGCGCAAGCGTGAGCAAAAGCTCAATAAGCACCTGGCAGAGGCCTTGGAGCAGGTGGGGCGAGGGTGCTGTGTCAGATAGAGCCAGGGCTGGGTACCGAGAGCCCTAGGTTCTCTCCTCCACGCTTACCTGTCTGTCTGTCTCTCTCCTCTCCACAGCTCAACTCTGGCTACTATGTGTCTGGGAGTTCCTCAGGCTTCCAGGGGGGCCAGATCACACTCAACATGCAGAAGGTGAGCAGGTATCCTTCTTCCCAGTCCCTCCTATCATCTTTTCTCTACCCTTGTCATTCCCCACAGAATTATGGTGTCTGAGGTCCTTCCCTGTCACTCATGCTGCTTTGTTGTCTTCATGCACAGATATGTTCAATAAGTCATTGCTTAACACTAAGTGCTAGGCAGCAAGCATATTGGAGAAGAAAATAGAGAAAAACCAAAGCTTTCAGGGAGCTTAAGTCAGGAGAACTGAGCAGAAGTAAGTAAAATAGTACAACAGTTGGTTATGAGCACCACAGAGAGCAAGTATAGACAGTAGGTACATGGGAGTGCCGGCGATTGGAATTCTTAGTTGGTGGCTGAAGAAGAGCCGGGGAGACAGAGCCTTAGTCACTGTCTCATTCCTTTCATATCCGTGCTCTCCCCGCTCGGCAGGTGCACATTTTCTTGGTGTGGGGGGATCACCATGCCCAAGGCCCTTTCCTTTACTCTTCAGGCTTCTAGGAAGATCTCACTGGCTCCTTGTCAGTTACAAGCAGCCTTGTTCCCAGCATTCACCAGGCAGCATTGAGTTTCCTTCCACCCGCCTGGGAGCTCTTAGGAAAGGGCTTAGGTCTGGCTTACCCCAGGGGCCTCAGAATAGTCATTGTTACACCAAGGAGGGCTTGAGTGGGGCTTGTATGAAGGAAGCATGCCTCCTGGCCTGGCCCTGACTCCCATGGCCTTTCCCATTCCACAGTTTGAGATGCTGAATGCGGAGTTAGAGGGAAACCAGGAATTGGCCAATAGCCGCATGGCAGAGCTGGAGAAGATACAGGCTGAACTTCAGGGGGCTGTGCGGACCAATGAGCGCCTCAAGGTGAGCTGTTTGGGGCTGGGAGGGCCTAAGACTGCAAGGAGGGGGTGAATCCTTTCACTGATCGCTTTTGGGCACCCGCCTTAGGTGGCCCTACGTAGCCTTCCTGAAGAGGTGGTGCGGGAGACCGGGGAATATCGAATGCTGCAGGCCCAGTTCTCGCTGCTTTACAACGAGTCCCTGCAAGTGAAGACCCAGCTGGATGAGGCCCGGGGGCTGCTGCTGGCCACCAAGAACTCGCACCTGAGACACATTGAGCACATGGAGGTAGGGCCCAGGAACGTGGGAAAGTGCCAGACCCTGAGGGTTAAGGCGTTCCTGGGTTCAGTCCCTGCATGCCTGCCAGGGGTTCCTTGGGAATAAATTCTTCTTAAGCCACTGAAGCCTAAGGTAGGGGGTTTCCAGGGAGCGAAGGGATTGTGTGGGTCCTTAATGCCTCACCCCACAGAGCGATGAGTTGGGGCTGCAAAAGAAGCTGCGCACAGAGGTTATCCAGCTGGAGGACACACTGGCCCAGGTACGCAAGGAGTACGAGATGCTGCGCATCGAGTTTGAACAGAACCTGGCGGCCAACGAGCAGGCGGGTATGTGGTGAGGCCAGGGTGGAGGTGGGCCTTGTCTGGGATTGCTGGGCCCTCGTGAGGGGCTGCTGCTCTCCCAGATGCCAGAGGTTTAACCCTTCCTGTCACAGAGCCTCATCTCCCTGTGGAAAACAGGTACCACACCACCTGGCTCAAGGGCACAGTAAGAGTTACAACCAGCTGAAGTGGTTGATGGAGCAGGCTGAGAGCATGAGCTGTCAGCCCCGCCAGTGGTTCTCGGGCCTTCTGGTGTCTCTCTCAGATAATTTATTTATTTTGGAAAGAGTTATTTAATACCCCCTATGGGCCAGGCTCTCTTCTAGGCTTTGGGATTAGACCAGTGAACAAAACACAAAGAATCCTGTGGTGTGGAGCACTCTCATAATAGAGGAAGAAAGGAAAAGAAAATATAGAATATGTATTGTAGATAATGACTAATATGCCAAGAAAAAGCGTGGATTGAAGATGACAGGCAGTATTAGGAGAAAGGGTGTTGCAGTTCTGGATGGGGAGGACTGGGAAATGTATCACTGAGAAGGTAACGTTTGTTTAAAAATCCCGAAGTAGATGAACTCACTTGTGGATTTACTGTTATGTGTTCTTTTGAAGGAGGGTTGAAAATATTTAAAAACGTACATGAGCAGAAATAACACACAGTGTGAAGTTACTTTCGGGTGAATTTTCTTCAAAGTAAAATCTCCGTTACTTTGATGAGATCATGTTGTAAAGTCTACATTTCTTCAATGAAGTCATACTGTATAAAGGCTTCGGTTTCCCTCTTTATAATGGGAGTGATGGCTCTGGCTCCTCCTCTTCCCCCACTAAAGAGTTGGGCCCTGATATAGGGGTCAGTCTGACCTTGATCCCTGACCCTCCCCTAGGGCCCATCAACCGTGAGATGCGCCACCTGATCAGCAGTCTCCAAAACCACAACCACCAGCTAAAGGGGGATGCCCAGCGATACAAGCGGAAGCTGCGGGAAGTGCAGGCTGAGATCGGCAAGGTGAGGAGAGGGCTGCCTGGGAGGAACCTTGGCTAGAGCCTGGTGAGTACGTCTCTCTGCAGCCCTGTTCTCTTGTTCTTTGCAGCTCCGGGCCCAGGCCAGTGGCTCTGCGCACTCTATCCCCAACCTGGGCCACTCGGAGGACTCGGGCCTTAGCGCCCCAGCTGTAGGGAAAGAGGAGGGCGGGCCAGGCCCTGTTGGACCCCATGAGACCAGAAAGGAAGTCGCTCCAATGCCTGTTGCCACCATGACTACCTCTTCAGCAAAGAAGGAGGAACCGGTCCCCTCTGAGGAAGATGCCCAGGCCTTAACCCCTGGGCCCCAGGGCCCCTCTTCCCGGGGCCGAGAACCTGAGGCCAGACCCAAGCGCGAGCTTCGGGAGCGGGAAGGGCCTGGCTTGGGAGCCCAGCCTATAGCCTCAGCACTGGCAAGAGCCGATCGGGAGAAGGCCAAGGTGGAGGAGGCGAAGAGGAAGGAGCCAGAGCTCCTGAAAGGTCTCCGAGCAGAGCTCAAGTGAGGCCCTGTCCTGTCTTCTTCCCCCCCTGCCACGTGGCCTCCCGCCCTCTCACCAGGCCCCTGTCCCCCCCAGGAAGGCCCAGGAGAGCCAGAAGGAGATGAAGCTGCTGCTGGATATGTACAAGTCGGCACCCAAGGAGCAGCGGGATAAGGTGCAGCTCATGGCGGCTGAACGCAAGGCCAAGGCCGAGGTGAGGTCAGGTAGGGCTTGGGGGGCATAGAGTGCGGCTACCCCAGAGGGTTCTGGCCAAAGCAGAGCCCTGGATCAACAGGAAGCCTGACAGGAGAGCTCCCTCCTCTGGTGGCTGCAGGTGGATGAACTACGGAGTCGTATCCGGGAACTGGAGGAGAGGGATCGAAGGGAGAGCAAGAAGATTGCGGACGAGGATGCCCTGAGGCGAATTCGGCAGGCCGAGGAGCAGATCGAACACCTGCAGCGCAAGTTGGGTGCCACCAAGCAGGTGTGAGCCTCTTGTGGTTCTCTTCTAAATGTTTACCCGCTCTCCCCACCCCAGTCGTGGGTTCTAGCAGATGGCCTGGTTCTCCTTTGCTCAGCCGTGTTCCCTGGGGTTTCCCCATGGTCATCCTGTCCATCTGCCACGTTCCCTCTGTCCTTGCCTGCACAGGAGGAGGAGGCTTTGCTGTCGGAGATGGATGTGACAGGGCAGGCTTTTGAGGACATGCAGGAGCAAAATGGGCGGCTGCTGCAGCAGTTGCGGGAAAAGGACGATGCCAACTTTAAGCTGATGTCGGAGCGGATCAAGGCCAACCAGATTCACAAGCTGCTGCGGGAGGAGAAGGATGAGCTGGGTGAGCAGGTTCTTGGCCTCAAGTCTCAGGTATGGTCACCCTGGGCTTGTAGGGTGGAGCTGGAGAGGCAGGGGCTTCCCGGCACTGAATGTCTACCCCTGCTCTCAGGTGGATGCCCAGCTGCTGACTGTGCAGAAGCTGGAGGAGAAAGAGCGGGCCTTGCAGGGCAGCCTTGGCGGTGTGGAGAAGGAGCTGACGCTGCGCAGCCAGGCCCTGGAGCTCAATAAGAGGAAGGTGAGGCCGGGCCTTGGGAAGCAACGTAAGATGCTGGTTCGCGTCTCAAACTCTTACTATGTGCCAGACCCTGTGCTGAGTGAGGACTTTTCATACGTGGTCAGATTTTAGTCTTATAATAATCCTGTGACGGTTTTTCTTGTTATCTGTGAGGAAACTAAGGCCCAGGAGGTCAACTGACTTGCTCAAGAAAGAGTAGAACTTGGATTCGGTGCGTCTCCTTGGCTCTAGGACCCACATCCTGACCTGTAAAATGGGGATTGTGCTTCCTGTCACATAGTTGTATTAAAACACAAATAGCAAGCTCATGGTAAAGGCTTAAGATGGATATTGATTTTCAGTTTCTTTCCCCATTGGACTTTTTTCTCCTGCTTCATTCATTCATTTAGGCCGGAGGTGGGGAAAATCAGTATAAGCCTGTGAAATTATTTGGTCCGGCCCTGCCAAGGCAACTACAGATGGGACTCAAAATTCAATAAATCTGGGAGCTTTTTTCATAGTAACAAAATTTATAGTAAGTAAGTAACATTAAGCGAATATTATTTTGAATTTCCAAATGGCCCTTGGTGAGAAAACGTTCCTCACCTCTAATTTAGACAGTATACATGCCCTTGCTGTATATACCCGACCCTGTGCTCAGTGTTGAGGAGACCATGAGAACAAGAGGGTCCTGTTAGAAGAGGGAAATTAAGTCTTTAGGGGACAGGTAGCCAGCCAGTAATCCCAGAGAGAAAGGTCATAGCAAGTCTTGTGAGGTTGTGAGGGATAACGAATAAAAAAGTATGAATGACATCTACGTTGGAGTTGCAGGGGAGACAGACGTATGCATTGGAGTGGTAGCCGAGGGACAGGTCCTGTGCAAGCTTAGGTTCTGGAGAGAGCGATAAGCAGGTGAGGAAAGGGTCAGGAATGGGGAGAATAGGAGCAGGTATGAGTCCAGGGGTAAGGAGGGACCAGCTCCAAGGAAGAAAATTGGACTTAATTCCAAGAGCAAGAACCACTGGAATGTTTGACACAAGCATCTGTGGACTGTGGTGCCTAACTCCGTAGGCTCAGGAGAATGGTGCCCTCCTTGTCTCCCACCTCAGGCTGTGGAAGCAGCCCAGCTGGCTGAGGACCTGAAGGTACAGCTGGAGCATGTGCAGACGCGGCTGCGAGAGATTCAGCCTTGCTTGGCAGAAAGCCGGGCTGCTCGAGAGAAAGAGAGCTTCAACCTCAAGAGGGCTCAGGTGTGCACATGGTGGGGACAGGGTCACTGGTGTGGCGTGGGGGGGGTTAGGATGCAGACCTTGTGCTCAGCCCAGCCCCTGTCCTGCTTCAGGAGGACATCTCACGACTGCGGCGCAAGCTGGAGAAGCAGAGGAAGGTGGAGGTTTATGCAGATGCTGATGAAATCCTGCAGGAGGAGATCAAGGAGTACAAGGTGGGCTGTGCGGCTCGGTTGTGCCCCATCCCTAGGCATCTTAATGAGGGGTTGGTGGTCTGGGGACCCCAGAAATAAGGATAGCAAGAAGTGGGCAGACCTGTAATGGAGAGTCAGACAACTGACCAAGAATTGTACACACGCTGCAGGTCAGGCAGAGGGCTTGGAACTAGATCTCGAAATTGACAGTGTGTTGGAGGAGGCAGCCATGTAATTCTCCCGTCTGAGTGATCAGCAATTGGGAACTCGGGGGTGGGAGGCTCTTAGACTGGCCCTGGGGTCAGCAGGCTTCCTGGAAGGAATGTCATCCAAAAGAAACATGAAGATGAGTCCAAGTTGGCTATGAAGAATGGGGACAAGAGGGTTCTGGCAAAGGGGAAGGCAGAGGTGAGGCCCCTAATTGAGAGAGGGGTGCTGGAGGACAGAAAGTGGGTTTTGTGGTGACCAGCAAGCCTGTGAACATTGGGCAGTGTCAACCTAAAACGTTTGGCACAGGATCAAACGTGCGGTAAGCCAGGTTGGCAACGTGGAGACATGCAAGGGTTTTGAACCATAGCACTGTGGTCTGATTTGCTATCAGATTTGGGTTAAAGTGGGGAAAGAGTAGAGGCAGGGAGATTTGTTAAGCTATTGTAATCGTTGAGGCAAAACTTGATCCTGAGCTAAGGTATTAGAAACAAGTAGAGGAGCTCAGGAGATACGTAAGAGGCAGAAATGCTTGGATTCAGTGATTGGAGGGAGACAGAAATACTGAGAACTCCTGGGTACCTGATTTGAGAAACTGGGTTAAGAGGGGCAGTTAGTGGGATCAGGAAGACTGAATAGGAGTGGGGCTTGGTAGGCAGTGTTCAGAGATGTTGAGAACAAGGTGCTCACGGGTCTTGTCTGGGAAAGCACTCAAAGCAGAAGGGCAGGTCTGGAAAACAGAGGCTTGGGGGATTGCCAGCTGAGGCAGAGGTAGGAGTGAGGGTCTGTGGCATAAGGGATGGGGTCATTCTCCTTAGGAACCTCAAAGCTTTAAAGATGCGCAGAAGAGAGAAGCCTGTGGATTGGGATGAAGGAGAGATGATCGTAGAGGGAGTAGATGGGAAAGCACTCCGAGGAGGAGGGGGTGAGCTGAATCAGAGCTGCCAAGAAGGCAAATGAAGTGAGTGATGTGAGATGCCCCTTGGCTTTGGCCGTGTTTATAGGAATGGCTCTTGGACGGTGAGGTGAGGTCAGATGCCACTACTTGCACACTCGCTAACTGGAGTGAAGAGAGGGTGGAAGGGGGGTCATAGATCTTTTAGGCAGTTTGGCCTTAAAGGGTCAGAGGCACTGCAGGCAGCTATGGTGGATAAGGGAAGGGTTTCTTAAGGGGAGACAGACGAGCCTATCACAAGCTGATGTTGGGGTTCTGAGAGCTAGGGAAGAAGGCGGTGGCTGGGCTGGGATTTCGAGTAGAGCAGAGGAGAACTGGTGTGAATGCTGAGCTGAGGGAATTCCTGTCTGCAGTTGGAGGAGAGACCTGGTGGCAGGTTTCAGAATAGGAGCAGAGATTTGTGAAACTTCCAGGGACCCACAACAGCATCTCTGGACCCAGTTGAGGGTGGAGACTGCATCTTTCTAGTGGTTCTGCCAGACCCAGCTGTGGCTAGGGGTGCAGGTGAAGTAGACATTTGGCTTAAGTCGGGACTGGGGTTTTTCCAGAGAAAACAGGGAGGAAAGAGATGACGCCCAATGAGCCTGTGGGCTGTTGGCCTTGAGAGGGGGACAGTGACCACTGGCCATCACTGCCAGGTTAGAATCCAGCTGCTGTTTTGTAGCTTTGAGACCAGCTTCTTCTGAGTCTCAGTCCCTCATGGAGAGTGCTTACCCCTCCCCCCCCAGGATTATGGGCGAGTTAGATGCAGTTGGCTGTATGTGTGATAGCATAGCCAGAACCACCTGCTGCTGTCTGCTGGGGTTCTGGGCACCGTCGGGAATGTTCCTGATCTGATCTGATGCCTTTGCCTGCCCCAGGCACGGCTGACCTGCCCCTGCTGTAACACCCGCAAGAAGGATGCAGTCCTTACCAAGTGCTTCCACGTTTTCTGCTTCGAGTGCGTGCGGGGCCGCTATGAGGCCCGTCAGAGGAAGTGTCCCAAGTGCAACGCAGCCTTTGGTGCCCATGACTTCCACCGAGTCTACATCAGCTGAACCCATAACTCAGGGGACTTTGGAATACCCGTGGACCCTGGGGGCTGTGCCTCCAGCACCTTCCCATCTAGTTGGTTTGGGGTCTCCAGTGCATGCTAGTGGGAGTGGGATGAGCCAAGCTCAGGCCCACCTTTTCTCCAGTCAGAGCTGAGGCACCCACCATGCAGGAAAGATCTGCTGTGAGCACCCAGGGGGAAACCCCAAGGCTGTGACCTCCCATGGAAGAGGAGACTCACTCACCTGCTTACACACCCACAAGTGAGGACCAGGGTGGGCCGGGTTCCAGCCCTTGTCCCTGCCTTCCAGGCCCTGGCAGGGCTTCTCCTGTAGAGTTCCCTGGGCTCTTTGTCTGGCTCTTGGGTGTGGGGTGAGGGGAGGGTGTCGTGGGGGAGGGGGAGTAACAGTCCTCTTCCTGGGGAAGCTCTATGCTTGCTGCAGTCACCTTGCCCTTATTTTGGGAGTGCTGAACCAAGATCATCCCTTTCTATTCCAATCAGGCCCCTCTGGGTATCTACTCTCCCAGGCCCTCTTACCCCCCTCATGCTTCCCACCCGTCCCCAGCCTGACTCTGCTTTCATCTTGGTGGCCTTAACTGCAGTGGAGGCAGAACTTCTGATCATTCCAGGTAGAAGAGCTTCATCTAACCCTGTAACTGAGCCTGTACACGATGCTTGCTGTGCTGCCTGCCCACGCAGACTGGGCTGAGGGCAGCAGGCCTGGCCTGGAAGGTGGAGCTGCTGACAGGTGCAAGGGGGCGCTTGGACCCGCAGCCCCTGCTCTAGCGATGTCTTGTAATATAGGCTGTATGTCATGAATAAAAACCCAACCTTCAGCCTGTGGTCTGAGGAGCCAGGTTCCATGCCCTAAACGCGGTTCCTGATTTTAGCTACTACACCTGCCTTTGCCGCTGCCCCGCCTGGCTGTGAACCTGGAGCTTCCGAACAGAGAGATACCCTGCTCCTGTCCACCCTACCCCGAGTTCCGCCCACACCTAACGGCTGGCCGCGAGGTTCCCGGCTGGGCTCAGGGAGGAAGAGCTGACCCTTGGGGGAGGGGCTCCTCACACCTCTGGCAGTCATTGGCTGCTGGAAGGCGCCCGGCTGCATCCTGGGAAATATAGTTCCCAATCGGCTCCTAGCAACCAGGTCCTGGGTGGGGGCGGGGAGCGGTTCCTGGTTTTGCAGGCGAGAAGCGGCCCTGCGTCCTGCAAGGGGGGGAGTTTGGTCCCCTCAGACGAACGAGTCGGGACACGTTGTGTGACTTTTTTCATTGCAATTTGTGCCGGCGGCTGGCCGGGTGTCGCGTGCCCCCTGGGAACCGTTTCGAGTGAGGAGGGGCTCCTCTGGGTTCAGTGAGCCGCCGGGGCGGAGAGCGCCATCACGGAGGCTGCACTGGGGCTTGCCCCGAGGCTGGTGCTGAGCGGGGTCGGTCCCGGCGCCGGCGTGGCGGCCATGGCCAGGGTAGCGGCTGAGGGCTTGGCAACAAGCCCACTTTGGCGCGGCCCTGCGGTGGCGCCTTCACAGGGGCTTGCAGCCTTGTCTGTCGGTGGGACCCACCTGGCGCCCAGGCTGTCGGCGAGGCCGCAGCGGCTGGACCAGGTCGGACTGGAGACGGACACACGGGCCACCGGGGCTTCCTGCGCCGCGCTGGAGGTGGCGGGCACGCTCACCGAGGCACGGGCTGTGGCCGGAGATGGCATCGAGCCTCCGAAAAAGTCTGCATGGCCCGAGGGCAGCCGCGGCAAGGGTGGGGAACACGCAGCAGGTTGCATCACAGTGAAGCTGCTTGGTGCTGAGGGTCCCCGTGTGCGGGAGTGGGTCGGGGTCAGCCAATGTTCTGTGAGTCACCCCTTTCCCAGGATCCACCTCCCTGGGGTTCCTTAGATGCAAGTTACCGCACATCGCCTCCCCAGGTAGCTTCCTTGTCTGGAGGAGCTTGGCACTGCTGGTGAGTCCTCATACCACATGCTCAAGCTCAAACCCAAGGGAATGGGATGAGATGCCAGAATGGCAGTGACAGGAGCAAGCACTGTTGCCACAGAAGTGCAGAGCAAACGCCACAAACCTCGGTTTGCAGTAGCTGCCCGGTGCTGGGAGGATCTGCTTTAGGGACTGGGCAGGCCCTTCCAGCCAGGAGATTTGGCCTCTTACAACCCCAGTGGCCTCTGGCTGTGAGACCCTGGGTTCCTTGGAAGGCCAGGCCAAAACTGACCTTGCCTGGCATCTTGAGGGTGAGCAGATGTTGGCCTTCTGGTGAAGGTGCCTGTTTTAGCCACAACTAGGGCTACTGTCTGTGATTGGACCCAGGGTCCATTGGGGCACTTAGCACTGACCTCGCCAGAACTTCCCTCAGGTCTTGTGGTGCTACTCTCCTAGTTTTCCTCAAATTGATTATTTTTGCTGGTCCTTTTCCTAAGTTCTTTCTACTCTGCTTCTCTTCCTGGGTGTGTTTATCTGTGGCCACAGCTACAGCTAAGCTGCTATGGCCCAACTCCTCCAGCCCAGTTCTCTTTCCTGAAGCCAAACGTGGGGTGAGGTGGGGGGTGAGATCATGTACTCTCCTTAAAATCCCCCAACGCTGCCCTGTCCCAAAGCTTCTCAAATAAGATGCCCCACACTCTGGCCTCTGCTCCGCCTTCCTTCAATCCCCACCCCCCTGTTCTAAAGCCACCCCCAACTGTTAAGCACCCTTTATCCCCTGGCCCGTACCCACACCATTTCCTGTTGCCACAATCCTCATTCCTTAGGTCACTTCCTCCAGCCAGTTTCCTGATGCTGTGCTGTGGCAGGCACCATGCCTGGGTCGCAGCCCCTTCTCTGTCTGAACAAATCACTACCCTAGCACCAGTTCTTCCCTGTAGTCCCCTCACTTTACCGAGGACTCCTGTGCTGAGACCGGTTCTGACGTGCTCAGCTGTCCCCAGGACGGGACACGGGAATGTGGGATAGCCTTCATTACCTCCATGAGAGGCAAGTCCCTCCTTCCTTCCCCCACTTCACCCCTTGCTTTCCAGATGGGGAAGGGGGCGGAAAGGCAGGGAGCCTTTTCTGGGAGTCTGGGTCAGAGCAGCACAAGGAAGGTAGGGAGACAGCTTCCTGACTGGAGCAGGAGACTCCCGGCAGACTGGCAGGCCATGGGTTAAAGCAGGTGCTGACCTCAGGCTCTGGCCATGACCAGGCCTGGGCATAGAGGTAAGCCCAGCACTGAGGGTTCATCAGAGCTACCCTGCCTGGCCCAGTTGTAGAGCTCAGGCAGGCCCAACGATGGCTGAGACAGGTTAGGTGCTCCTGGCCATTCACGTTTCCCTCCCTCCCTTGCTGTGGCTCTTACACAAGTGGCTGCCCTTCTCTGAGCCTCAGCCTGTCCACATGGCGAGGGTGTTGGACTGCAGCCCGAGAGTGAGATGACAGCCAGGTCTCCTCCACCACCACCTCTCCTCAAGAGGCCAGGAAGCTGTGGTCCAGATAAAGGCCTGGGCTGGGGCCAGGACCCAGTGAACCAGGGAAGGTGGCCTCCAGCTTCTGCAACTCGGTCTTTGGAGCTTTCCCACGTGGCAGTCCGGGAGGAGCAGGTGTGTGGCCAGAGAGGCCTCTGGAGCTGCACGGCTGGACCTGAGCCAGCCGGCGCCAGGCACCAGGCAGTCACCCAGGAGTCAGCAGGACGTGCTGGTGCCAAAGCCAGACATCAGCAAGCGCTGCCTCGCTCTGCCACCACCTCAGAACGTTTCTCCCTTTTCCCAAGGGTATGGATTTTAAAACTCAATAAACCTTCAGCAGCATGCGTTGGGTGGGGTTTTAGGGCCTTGGGAAGAGGGCAAGGGCAGCCTGGAGCTGGGCTGAGCTTCTGAGGGTACATCGGACCCTGGCTCTCAGAGAGGGCACTCTCTCAGCTTGCTCTAGGGTTCAGAGAGAAGACAGAAAACACCTGGGAAATCTTACTCCCTTTATTCTCTTCTAATCAACATGACCACCAGTGACACAACACTTACTGACACACAACACTCAAAAGGGGGGCCTCTCTTCACTCCGGGGGCACAAGTAAGGTGAGTGGGGCTTCCCTAATGAGGGCCAAGGAGTTTGGGGCTGCTCATCTCGGGGGCAGGCGCCATGGAACCCCTCTGTGTGAGTTTCAAGTTTCCTCATCATTCAGGATTCATGCCCAGTTCTTTTGAGTTCCCTTCTGACCTCCATATCCATAGCAGTTTCGAGTTTCGCCCTAAGCTCAGATCAGTTTCTATTCTTCCCTCTGCTTTCACCGACTCTGTGACCCTGTCTGTTGGGCTCCTCAGTGGGGCACTTCTGAAGAGTCAGGCCAGCGTGGAGTTGGACAAGAGGCCTCCAGGCAATCCGGGCCTCTGCCTGAGCTGGTCAGAGGGACTCTGGACATCGCCACCTTCCCCAACCAATCCCCTGCTCAGTTCCTCCCCAGATGTAACTTGTTCTGGGAGAGGAGCACCTGGCTTAAGGAGTTGGGGGAAGTGAGCAACAGAGAACAGGTCATACCCCAAAGGTCTCTGACTCTGCCCCTTTCCAGACCCCAACTCATCATATCCACATCATCCATTGAAGTACCGGAGCCTAAACTCCTGGCCCTAACCTGTTCCTACAACATGCGAGCATCCCACTACATATGCTACACCAAGTCCTCATAGGCCCGCGGCCAGCCTCTGACCACGCTGACTGCCTCCCCCTGGACTGGCTGCTCCCAGGACTCCTCTGGAGACATTGCTCAGACTGTTTTGGGGGTTCTGCTTCTACCTTTAAAGGGGGTTTGTCTATACTGGAGTTTCTGCTGCCATTTTAAAGGGAAAAGAATCTGCTTTGACAGACAGGACTGTGTCCTGTCCTGTCTCACTGGGACTCCCCCTCTGGAGGCTTCCGCAGGCAGGCTCCTCCCCTCAGTAGGGCTTTCTGACCTTGCACTTGGGTTGGGTGGGAGTTGAATGCAGATGGCAGAGTCCCCACAGTCATGCAATGCCTGCCCTCTCCTCCCCAGCAGGCCTGGCTTTTTACTCCTACAGTGTTCTAGATTTTGACCCTTTAAATTTGAGCAGTATCCTTTTGGGGGCAGGGTAGATGAAAGGTGAAGGACTTCCACCTTCTGAACTTCAGGTAATGAGAGGTCTTTTCTACAGCTTCGCAGGGTTCCTGGTCACCCTCTCAGATGTGACTCCACCTCTCCGGCACATTGGTTCTTACTCCAGGACCACAGTGCATTGCTGGGTGAGGGGCACTTCCTTTGGATCCAGCACTGGATGGTGTCTCCAGGATGAGGGGATGGGTTCTTGTTACGGATGTTTCAAGAGTTTTCTCCAATCATTTCAGAGGGCAACAGTCTCTCTCCTGCCGCAGACACCCAGTCACGTGGGCAGGTCTGCTGGGTTAATGAAAGCGTGTAGCTGTATGAGAACAGATGGGCTGGCAGGGTGCGGTTCTCATCTTTCCGTCTCCCTCTGAAGGTTTCTGATTAAGGAGGAGAAGAGTCAAGTAGGTGGAATCCATCCCTTCCCAAGACTACAATCAGGGGGGTTGGTTACTTTAGGGGCTCCAGATATGGGGCAAGGAAGGTGGTCAGGCCTCCATATACTCTCTGTGGGGGGTTTGGGCACCATCACTGTGCGGCTGGCTTATCCTGCCCAGCAGCCTTGCTATCAGCTCAGAGGAGAGAGTAAGGTTTAAGAGCATATTGCTGACCAATCAAATCTCTCTGTTCTCTTAACTCGCTGTCTTGGCTGCCACAGGGAACCTGCGCACAGCTCCCGCTGACTTGCCGAAGAGCACGCTAGAGAGGATCTGTGCACACACAGGCCTTGAGACTCCAAAGGGCTTTACTCTGGAGGTCAACTAGCAGCAGTTCTCCCTTCACTGAGGACAGAACTCAAGGACACGGCTGCCACTGCAGCGACACAGGCGGCAGTTAAGAGTTCAGGAGGAACCTCTTGTCAGTGAAACCTGAGATGTCAGCAGGAGGGACCCTCCATTCCTGGAGGCCTCTCAGCACGGGAGTCCCCAGGAGAGGGTGGTCCTGCCTGGCTTGGGGAGGACCCGGCGGCCTGGCTGGGACCCGCTTGCACTTGCAGTTTAACAAGCTCCCAGGAACAGGGAAGACAGCTGGAGTGAGCTGGGTTCCATCTGAGCAGTTCCTCTGCTTGGCTTCCTTCCCTCAAAGAATCCCGACTCTTCCCCCTGCATTTTTGTAGTGGTTCCCCAGGATTCTTACACTTCAAGTTATATGCACCCCAAACTTCAGCCTTTAAAAGGCTCAACGTCCTATTTTTTCCTTCCCCATTTTGGCTTCTTTCTGATAAGGAATTCTGGAGCCTCTTCATCTGCATACACTTTACCTAGGATTGGCCTTGTGCCCCGAGGAAGCCCCAGAGCAGTGAACTGGACTTTCTCCTACTCCTTCCTGGGCTCTTCTCTGTGGGTCTGAGGACTCTTCCTCATTTACTTTTGTCCTGTCTTTGTTTTCTTCCTTCTCCAGTTCCCATGTTACTCAGTGTAACTGTCCGTGGCTTCTGGGAATGAGCCCCTCCCATGTGCCGGGAGAGGAAGAACACTGCTGAGCAAGTTCATGGGGGGTCCTTTCACACCTTCCAAGGCCACTGCTCCCAAGTCAACGCCATTGCTATATTCCCTGCATTTCCCCAACCCTATAGTTTTACAAGGATTTCAGTACAGTTTCCTAAGGTTGTCTAGAGACATACGGGACCTCATCCTACAATTAATAGGGCTTTTATCCACTATGGTTTATAGGGATTTCTGCTACAGACTTAAAGGGCTTTTTTTCCTACGTATTTATAGGGTTTCTAACCCAACGGTTTTTCTCTACTGCATTATAAGTGGTTCCCACCAACAATTTATAGGGTTTCTTACCACTAATAAAAAAGCACTATTTTTACCCAGGGTCCTTTATCCTCCACACGTCTACAATCTGATAGGGTTTCCTTTCTTTTCTCGTACAATATCTGGGGAGATCCAGTGTTCCTCTCAGGAGAGAGAGGCCCCCGGCCTCCAGACCCACTTCACAGGGCAACTCCGGGGTGGCAGCTCCTGTGGAGAAGGAGGGCTGCGACCTCTGTGAAGCCATCTCCGCACTCGGGGCACAAATAGGGCTTTTCTTCCAAGAGAGTTTTGGGGGCTTCCCCTTCCTCATGGCTACTGCTCCCTGCGGGTGTGGGGGCCTCGCTTTCACCTTCCTGACTTGGGGGCGGGGTGACTGGCTCTGGAAGGGGGTCTTCGGGTCTGGGGGACTTTTCCTGGGTGTGTGTCTCCTGGTGCCGGAGGAGGGCAAGGCGATCCTGGAAGGAGGCCCCACAATCTGAGCAGCTGTAGGGTCTGGCCCCCAGAGGGCTCCTGAGGTGCTCCAGGAGGACAGACGAGCTCTTGGCCAGCTCTGGGCTCTTCTGTGCTTTCCCACCCGCATGGACTTTCTGGTGCAGCAGCAGCTCCGAGCTGAGCCCAAAGCTCTTTTTGCACTCGGGGCATTTAAAGGGCTTTCTGCTGAGGAAGGGACTGGGCCCTGCCCCTTCTGCTAGACCAATCCTATAATCGGGAAAGAGGAAGGGCTTCTCGCTGCCGTGGGTGAGCTGGTGTTGGAGGAGCACAGCCCGGTCCAGGAAGCTTTCTCCGCAGTGGGAGCAGATGTAGGACTTGGAGAGCAGGCCCAGCCTTTGGCTGAAGCTCTCCTGCCCCTCCGGCGTCTTAAAGGGCTGTCCCAGGGCGTCCGCTCTGCCCTCTGAAGCACCGGGGTAGGAGTTGCCTCCAAAAGGGAGCCTGGCCGGCCGGAGCTGGGAAGGCTTGGGGGCTGGGTGTGCGAGGAGGCCGTCTGAGTTTTTGTAGGGGTTTTCTCCGATGTGGATCCTCTGGTGCTGCATGAAAATGCCCTCATCGTTGAACCCCTTTCCACAGACAAGACACTTGTGTGGTTTGGCTCCAGGGGGCGGGGTCAGCAGGGCGGGGTCCCCGAGCCCGAGCAGAGAGTCGCCCTGAGCTCTCCGGGCCGGTGTCTTCCCTCGTTCGTGGATCACCCGGTGCTGTTCCAGCTCATGGGCCTCCAGGAAGGCCTTCCCGCAGTCGGAGCACACGAACAGGTTCTCATCCATGTGGGTGCGCACGTGCGTGATGAGGTTGGAGCTCTGGCTGAAGCTCTTGCCGCACTCGGGGCACTTGTAGGGCTTCTCACCCGTGTGGGTGCGGCGGTGCTGGATGAGGTGGGAGCTGCGGATGAAGCTCTTGCCGCAGTCGGAGCACTTGTAGGGCTTCTCGCCCGTGTGGATGCGCTGGTGGCGGATGAGCGTGGAGCTCATGATGAAGCTCTTGCCGCAGTCGGCGCAGATGTAGGGCCGCTCCCCGCGGTGGATGCGCTGGTGGTTGATGAGGTTGGAGCTGACGCTGAAGCTCTTGCCGCACTCCGGGCACTTGTAGGGCCGCTCGCCCGTGTGGGTGCGCTGGTGCCGCAGCAGCGTGGCGCTCAGCGTGAAGGTCTTGCCGCAGACCGGGCACTTGAAGGGGTCCTCGCGCAGGTGGGTGCGCTGGTGCTTGATGAGGGTGGAGCTGTGGCCGAAGCTCTTGCCGCACTCGAGGCACTCGTAGGGCTTCTCGCCGGTGTGCGTGCGCTGGTGCTGGGTCAGCTCCGAGCTCTGGATGAAGCTCTTGCCGCACTCGGTGCAGCGGTAAGGCTTCTCGCCCGCGTGGATCTTCTGGTGCTTGAGGAGGTTGTGGTTCTGGCCGAAGCGCTTGCCGCACTCAGGGCACTTGTAGGGCTTCTCGCCGGTGTGCGTGGCCTGGTGCTGGATGAGGTCGGAGCTGCGGTAGAAGGCGCGCCGGCACTCGCCGCACTTGTAGGGCTTCTCGCCTGTGTGCGAGCGCTGGTGCTTGATGAGGTTGGTGCTCTGGGTGAAGGCCTTCTCGCACTCGGTGCACTTGTAGGGCTTCTCGCCCGTGTGCGTGCGCTGGTGCTGCACCAGGTTGGAGCTCCAGCTGAAACACTTGCCGCAGTCCGGGCACTTGTAGGGCTTCTCGCCGGTGTGCGTGCGCTGGTGCTGCACCAGATGCGAGCTCTGCGTGAAGCTCTTGCCGCACTCGGAGCAGGTGTTGGGGCGCTCGCCCGTGTGGATGCGCTGGTGCCGCAGCAGCTTGGACCACTGGCTGAAGCTCTTGCCGCACTCGTTGCAGATGTAGGGCTTCTCGGCCCCGGAGGGCCGGCCTTGCACCAGCTCCCGCAGGCTGGACTCGTTGACGGGGACCACCGGGGGGCTGTTCCATGTGGTCAGAGTCCCCCACTGCCAGCTGGCCTCGCAGGCCTTGGTCCAGTCAGACGGGGTAGGGACCGCCTCGGCGGTCGGGTGGTCAAGAGGAGTCTGGTGGTCCAGGGGGTTGGGGTCACCCAGTGGAGATGGGGGGTCCTGGGGGCCTGAGGGATCCGGGGAGGCTCTCTCCGGGGCCATCTCTGGTGGGTCCTTGAATTCTGGGCTCTGAGCTGGATCGCCCAAGATGATCTCTTCCCCAGAGCTTTCCTGCCGAGGGCTCTCCTCTTCGTTCCCACTCTCGGCACCTACAGAGAGAAAGGGAGTCTCCAGCCCCCATCTCCTTTCAGAACACGGGGTCCGTCTCTCCCTCCCCTGCGTTCCCCCAGAGTCTGGGCCCCTCCCCGGGTGGGGCCGCTGTCTTGTCAGGACCGCAGTCCCTGCTTGTGCCCCTCACCTCTGTGAGCATCGTTGGGGCTCTGCTCAGGGCCTTGCAGATCTGGGCCCCACAGCACCGCTTCCGGCTCCATCCCAGAGCTCAGGGCTGCCCAGTGTTCCGGGAACCCTGGGGGGGAGGGGGGGGGAGGAGGGAGAGAGAGGAACACACAATGGGAGCGATCTCCCACTCTTTTTTACTCCCATCCCCCCAGCACACATTCCTCCTTATGTAAACTTCAGTTTCTGACCAAGCCATTTTTCTGGGCATTCATTTTCACTGTCCCTACCCATACCACCCCACAGCCCGATTCTTGGTCCAGATCTGAAGATAACACCAAGCAGGTAGATGAATGTGAGCGTGTAATTAAAAGCTCATCAGTCATGACCCTTTGAACCCAGCCTGGGGGCTGGAGAGGTATCTGACGCCCACAGGGCGAGTGGCTCTCCCCCCACACCCCCATGACTGGGGCTGGGAAACCTGTTATTTTGCTAATCAGAAGCTCATTAAGACTCTAATTTCCCTCCTTAATGGGGCTGCTAATTGGGACCAATAAACTTTCCTTAAGAGCCTCACTGAGAACAGAGAGCACTTCAGGAGTTAAAAAAAAGAACACTCTGGCTCTCCCGAGGCGACAGGAATGAGAACTGGGGCACAATCCCCGTTACCCAAACACAGAAAGACGGCCAGGCCGGTAAGGGGAGGGGGCATTTTAAAGCCACTAGTGACTTGTGCAGGAATGACCTTGAGAGGGGAGTGGAAAAGAAAAGTGAGGAGAAGTGTGTGAGGACCACCAGCAGCGGCCACAGTGCTGTGTGCTGTCCTCGTTATCTCGCCCGATCTTCCCACGAGCCCTGAGGACCTGGGAATGAGACAGTCCTTTTACAGATTAGGAAACCGCCCCTGGGGAGATGCTCGGAGACCACAGGCTGGGAAGAGGCACAGACCAGATATGCGAGGCTCTGTGCCCGGCTTGCCCCAGCCTCTGGGAGAGGACGATGACCTTGGGAGTCACGTGAAACTCATCAACGTGGGCTGCTGGCAGGGACGTGATGAGGAGCTGGGAGGCAGCCTACAGGATGGGAAGGAGGAACCCTGGGGTCTGGAGGTCCTTGGCTGTAACAGGAGGGGTGGGTCCGTGACCAGCCCGACCATTTGCACCTACGAACTCAAACAGTGCTCCCCAGCGACGCCCTCCCGGCAGCCCATCCTGGGACCCCTTCTGTGCAGCTCGTTCTGCCTGTCACTCCTGTATGCGGTGCCTCAGATGGTGCTGACACAGAGCAGGTGCTCGATACCTTCCGTTCGGGGATCGAAAATGAATGTGATGCCCTTGTTCCCGCAATACCTGTTTGTCCAATGCCTCTGCAGGTCAGTCTGCAAGGGGACCCCCAGCACAGGAGCAACTGAGTGGCCGCCTGGGAGCACAGGCCTGCTCACTCCTAAAGGGTGATGTGCTTTCAGCAGAGGGAGCCGGACCCCAGAGCTGTTCCCACTTCCCATAACCTGAGACCCTCCTGGAGTCCCGGGGAAGCCTGGGCTGCGGCTGCCTCTGGCTGGGTGCTGTGCGTGGGGGCGGCGTACAGACAGCTGTGCTAGGACTCTGGAAGCAGCGGGGAGGCAACCCCAGGGAAGCAGAGGCTAGAGGAGCCTGTTAAACAGCAGCAGGGGAGACGAGTTAAATTTTAGGAAGTCAATTAATTTCTTCATCGCTAGCTCCTTAGGCGATGCCCAGCTCCCTCCCCCGTTTTGTTGGGGAGTGGAAGGGGCTGCTTGTGCAGGAGGCCGCAGGTGTGTGCGGGGACAGGTAAGATTGTGCACCGTGACCGTCTTCAGACAGTCACCCTCAGTGCGGAGTGAGGGAAGGGTTAAGACGAGGCCGCCATGGAGGGTGAGGTGGGAAGACCAGGGAGCAAGAAGTGCTTGGAGCAGACCTAGGCCCAGGCCCTGACTCGACCTCAGCGGGTCCCACGGCGGAGGGCGGGCGGGCGGGAGGCGCCTTGCAGAGGCGTGGAGAGCGGCCCAGGGTGACCCCTAAGTGGAGGCGGGGTGGGCACGCAGCCATCCGGGTCTCCGGCCCCCCCACTCGCACCGGCCGGGCCCTGGGCTTCTGCTCAGCTGGTCCCCGCCATCCTCTGTGGGTTCCCAGCTCCCAGCCCCGGGCACGAGCATCCCCCCCTTCCACTGCCCCCGCCGCCCCGGGGCTCGCAGCCCCCACCCCGGCGGGGGGCGGGGAGTTCGCTCCGGAATGCCCCCGCTCCCCTCCCCCCCGCCGGACCCCCGCGCTCCTCCCAGAAGCCTCGCCTCTGTCCCCCCCTCCCCGCCCCCCGCACCCTGGACCGGGGGCCGGCCCGAGGGGCCGGGCACCACCGCCGCCGCCTGCCCATTGTTCCCCGCCGCCCGGCCGGCCGCCCCCAGGGAACCCAGGGTCCCCCACTCACGGCTCTGGGTCCGGGAGAGGCCGAGGCGGAGTCCGGCCCCGGGGGACTTAACCCCGTGAGCGCTGCCCGGGGGCGGGGGCCGGTGCCGGGACTATGGGGTCCTCCTCAAGGGGTGCTCCCAGGCGGAGGACCCGGGGACCGTTCAGGGTGACTGGGACGGAGCAGGAAGTGACCCCAGCTTCCCGGGTCCCTCTAGCCTGGAGTCAGAGCATCAGCTCTATGGGATTTAACCCTTCGCCGCCCGGGCCCGGAGAGAGCGAGGACGGGAGCGGGAGGCGGCCGACCGGGCCCCGCTTTCTGTCTCCGGCGGGAGCAGGTACCCGGGGGCCCAGGGCCGGGGAGGGCCCCGGGTTCCTGGCCTCTCGCCATCTCGCAGGGGCTCTGCCAGAGCCGAGGCAGCGGATGGGTGGCCGCTGTCCCAGGGGCCTGCCTTTGTTGGGACTCACCCCCAGAGATGGGGCCTGGGCTTGAGGGTGGGTGCAGGGGCTGGCAGGGAGGGTCTGGGGAACCTCAGACTAAAATGGTTTAAATGAAATGGTAAGTCATGGCACAGTTTGGGAACAAGCAGCCGGAGGAGTCTGTGCCCGGCCCCCTCTCTGCCATTTGCTTCCCGCAGAGGAGGCCAATGGGGAGGAGCCTCTGACAGGGCCGGAGCCTTTCTCCCAGCTCCGGACACTCGCTCAGAACAAAGAACCTTTAACAGCCTGGGAACACGGTGGCCCCAAGGCCCAGGTCACCTGGCTCCCCATGTTCATATCCTTCACCTCATCCCTCACCACAACCCCCGGTAGGGCCGCACATGGTCCCGGTCTCACAGGAGAGGGAGCCACGGCGAGAAGCGGGGGAAGGTGCTGAGGGCCTCGCCATCGTTCCCAGCGGACACGTTTGTCGAGTCCTCTTATTCCTGGGCGCTTGGGGACCAGGTGGGGACACTCGGATGTGAACAAGAGCCAGGCTTCCTATCCTCAGGAGCGTGAAGGTGTGTGTTACAGGCACTAAAGGGCTGTCCATCCAGGCGTGAGGGCCGGGGAGGAGAGCTGTACGTCAGAAGAGCTCCTTGGGCCTCCGTCTGGGTCGGAGAGTGGCCACCGGCAGGAGAGGCCCGCTGGGCAGCCCCTTCTCCCGCCCCAGGTCTGCCTGCCTCACTTCCTCACCAGGCCTGTCTCCATCTTATCCCTGCTCCCATCGCCCTCGCTACCTCGCCCTCACCTCAGGGCTTTTCCCTCCCAGATGGAAGGTCTGTTCCCACCGGCCTCTGCCCAGCTCCGCTGGGCACTCACATTCGTGTCGGCTCGTAACGCAGGGACACGGCCTCTGGTCCTTGCTGCGTCTCCCCAGCACCTAGGACAGTGACCGGCGCGGTTAGCAGGTGCTCTGTGCATGGAGCGGAGCCGGTCACTGACTTCATGCACTGCCCCGTCATCTGTCTCCAGATCAGTTCCCCGCAGGACAGACAGGCAAACCTGCCAGAACCTCCACTGCACACTCCCATCCGCTCCCAGCACCCCTCTCCGCTCACCCTGAGACGCAGGTGGGGGCAGGACTCGGGGACCAGAGAGACCTGGGGCAGGTCCAGCCCTCCCTGCCCCTCTGGCGTTCCCGGGCTGTGGAGGCCTGGCCCGGCCCTGGGATGGGTCCATAGAGAGCTGGGCCTTGCAGGCTCACAGAGGCGTTAAATTTGGCCTTCGCAGTTTTATTTTGTTTTAAACTGAGTTAATTGCCACACTTTAAAATCAGTACATTTCATACAAACCCACATGCCCTACTTCTTTGGAAAAATACAAAGATATGGCAACATGATTTTTTATTTTTAATCCTCACCTGAGGATACTTTTCCATTGATTTTTAGGGAGAGTGAAAGAGAGAGGGAAAGACGGAGAGAAAAATAAATTGGTTTCCTCCTGACAAGCCCTGACCAGGGCCCAGACTAGGGAGGAGCCTGCAACCAAGGTACAGCCCTTGACCAGAGGTGGAGCCTTTCTCTGATATCTATGGCCTCAGATGTTACAAAGACACCTGTAGGTTGGTAACAGAAAGGAGACAAGGGCCCTAGCTGGTCTGACTCAGTGGGTAGAGCATCGGCCTGCGGACTGAAGAGTTCAGGGTTAGATTTCAGTCAAGGGCACATGCCCGGGTTTCAGGCTCCATCCCTAGAGGCAGCCAATCAATGATTCTCTTTCATCATTGATGTTTCTCTCTCTCTCCTTCTCCCTTCCTTTCTCTGAAATCAATACAAAAAAAAAAAAAAAAAGTCTATGTGCTTATCCATCATTCTACCTTTTAAAAAAAAAAAAAAAAGACGAGGGAATTTGTCAGTTGCGTTTGCTTACACTAGTACCTTGCTTGGTTTGGAGTAGGACTTGAGGCATTTATAGAGCTACATATACAACAGGTGCCACTAAATGCTGGCTATCATTACTGATAGCAGGGGGAATAAAGTATTTTTTAAAACATATCTTTATTGATTTCAGAGAGGAAGGGAGAGGGAGAGAAACATCAATGAAGAGAGAATCATTGATTGGCTGCCTCCTGTGCACCCCCCCTACCCCCCCAGAGATCAAGCCCGCAATGTGGGCATATGCTCCTGGCTGGAATCTAACCAGGGACCCATCAGTCTACAGGCTGCCGCTCTATCCACTGAGCCAAGCTGACT